GGCTGCAGAGGTTGCACCAAACTCACAGGCTCATCACAGAGACAGCAACGGGAATTGTAGGCCCCTGAACACATCAGAGTGACTGAGTCTTTTTTTTACACAGCATGTTTAAAAAGTTTGGGGAGAGGAAACTAAGCAAACCTGTTCACAGGTTAAATCTTTGATCACCACAAGAAGGAACCTGTTGAGAAAGAAGAGAAAACAACAGGCAAGGAAGTTAGACATCACTCGAAAACCTCCAGTTGCATTTACAAGGGTTGTATTTTGAGGTTGAAGCAAGTCCTGGTCAATAAAATTGGTAATAATATTGTTTATCCTAGGAACAGGAAATTGGCTTTGAAGAACATGAGGGTTTGCAAAGGAAATGTGTTACTGTACTGCATCGCATGTTGCTTAATTTGCCAGATTTTTAGGCAGCAATTAATTTTCCATTAGTGAACAATTGTAAACACAGTTCTAAAGTGCTTTTTTTTTCCCCCAAATGTTAAATCATAGCCAAGTAATGGCAGAGCTAAAATACTAAATCTATACCAGAAAGAGGAGAAAAAAAGTTATCAGAATACTTTTTACATAAGTAAAAGGGGGCTGTTCAGCCTGAAGAAGAGAAGGCTCCGGGGTGATCTTATTGCAGCTTTCCAGTACCTAAAGGGGGCCTACAGGAAAGCTGGAGAGGGACTTTTTACAAGGGCATGTAGTGATAGGACAAGGGCCAATGGCTTTAAACTGAAAGAGGAGAGATTGAGATCGGATATAAGGAAGAAATTTTTCACTCAGAGGGTGGTGAGGCACTGGAACAGGTTGCCCAGAGAAGTTGTAGATGCCCCATCCCTGAAAGTGTTCAAGGCCAGGTTGGATGAGGCTCTGGGCAACCTGGTGCAGTGGAGGGTGTCCCTGCCCGTGGCAGGGGGGTTGGAACTAGATGATCTTTGAGGTCCCTTCCAACCCAAACCATTCTATGATTCTATAAAGTAACTAAAATGCAACAAGTTATATAGTTCTGAACTGACCTCCAACAATTAACACTAGTTGGGAATTAATCCTAATGTTAGGAAATGTTTTAAAAGGCACTCTCCAAGAGTGGCCACTTCTCATGGAAATAACTTAAGCTTGTTGCTTGAACAGGGTAGAATTCAAGCGGTGTAGAGGCCATCAGGTGTTTGCAGCTCCGATGCTGGCGTGGCAGGCTGAGGAACGCGAGGCTTGTGGAGACGGAGGAGATGGGATATGAGAAATGGGTATTTCATGAATAAAATAGTGAAGCTGCTAAGGCACCACTTAAGCAACTGTGAAAGCAAAATTGTTTCTTGGAACAGCGGGCTCATCTGAGCCCAGTGAGATATTGAGCACTCCCCACTAATGATGGTTATCAAGCTGCTCTGGGTAAGTTATTTTGTACATAAGATTTACAAAGACGGCTACTTGCGTGCAGTTTAGGCTAGATCAGCTGTCCTGCATTGTCCAGACTGATGTCCTAAATGCTTCCTGGTGCTGTATTAGCAGCTCGGCCACCCTCCTCCCCTCTCCTCTGTACTTGAGGAGAGCTACAGATCCTCTGCAGGGTAATTTCACTCTTTTCAACTTTTTTGGTTTCTTCCTAGTAGGTTGTAAAATTAAATCTTAATGTGCAGTATTAGAGTCAGCATGCTCTGCTCCTCGGCCGTATGTTGTACACAAGTACCTCTTTTAATAGTACAAGTGTGTGCTTTTAATAACAAAAATCCACTCCCTCCTGCTTTGGGAGGGATATTCCTTTTTATGTCTGTTTTGTTCTATCAAGTGTATGCAAAGTGAAGCACATGAAAAGAAAAATTCTCTTAAATAATGCTCAGCCTGTGTTTATGAAGGTCATTGTTCTTTACTTCCACTGTATTAGGGTTACCGCCTCATTTTATTCTTTTTTTTACTTCCCCCTCTTACGCTTCTTTTTCCACCATGAACAGCATGTGTGACTTCCCAGCTTTGCTTCAGGAAAACAGCCCTGGGAGCTGTTATCCCACTGACAGCAGGTACAAGAATGCTTATCCTAGAAGATAATGTGCTCTTCTTGACCTCTGTTGGGAAGCAGATGCTGTTCTCCTTCTAATTATGGAGGCTGGTACTGACTTACCTCCTGTTCCAGCCTGAGCTCCAGAGGAGCCGAAGCCATATTTTCAGTCTGCTAAGAAGTAGCACAGTCTTCTCCAGCCTTTTCCCACTTGCTGTTGGAGGGCTCTTCGGGACAGGCAGTATGGTGGTGGTAGCTGGGCATTGATGGCAGAAGCTGTTTTGATGAGTTTTTGCAGCACAGGCTACAGGGACGTACAGTCAGTTGAATGACTTCATTTTTTCCTTCAAGGTGCTCCTTCTGACTCTATCAGCGGCTTCCACATACATCCCCTCCGCTACGTGCTCCTGCTCTGTGCACCTTTTCCTTTCTTGAAATGCCTCCTTGTCCGCTTAGTGAAACTTGCCACCTCCTAACTCTCTTTAACAATGACATCATCAAAAAATTAATGCTACTAATTGTGCAAGCGTTGAAGTACGCACCGATTCTGACGATGCGGTGGTTCTTTTCTGCTGATCTTGCCACATCATCTTGTTTGCTTAGATAATGAACTCTCCTGCATGGTGTGTCTGCTCCTCTGAGTAACATCCAGAAAAAGAGTGATCCTTGGCAGTCCTCCTCAGGCTTGGCCGCACTGCAGCAGCCCTGGCCTCCCGGCCAAGCTTGGCCACGTTCGCTGTAAAGACTTGTGCAAACGGAGAGCTGGCTGGGTGAGAAAAGCGATACACGGTTTGAAGGAGAAAGGGGGATGGAGACTGGAATTCAAAAGTGACGCTACTTCAATGCACAGCTGGGTTTCGTTTGCTGTAAAGGCTAAAGCAAGCAGAGCTTTGTGGCAGAGAAACAGTGACACAACAAAATCGAGACTCAAGGGCATCCAGACCTCTGTGAGCAAGAGGCGTCGCTTCATGGAGAAAATTAGGCAAAGCAAGGAGATGCTCACGCAGATGGAAAGGAAAGAGATCCAGGTAAGCACCAGAAGACAGACAAGAATAAAAGCAGAGTATGAAGGACTGGGAGGGGGAAAAGCGATAGAAGGAAAAAGTGTATTTGCAGAGGAAATACGTAATGAGACAGAAAACATGTAATGTGGGACAGAGCTAGAGGAAAACAAGAGTGGGACAGGGTGAGCTGCTGCTCCAGAGCAAGCACCAGAGCTTACAGGATCAGCCGGCCCCAGCAGCACCCTGAGTGGCCCTCGAGCAGTGCCCAGCCCAGCAGGGTGCTGCCACAGGCTGGGGGCACAGCTGCTGTGCTACATCATGCCTAAAGGAGTTTATTTTCCAGATTTGCACGCGCTGCTCTTTGCAGCTCCAGGGCTCAGGCGGGGTGAAAGATACAAAGCTCATTTACAACTGCCTCACATTTGTAAAGCATCTGAGTGGTGGTGCTGCTAACCAGCTGGTAGCAATGGCCTTAAAAAGGCTCTTTTTAGTGCATTTCTGCCAAATTTACTGCCCCATGGGAATAAAGGAGGCTGTGAGGGACCCAGCTGCTTCTGCCTGCAGAAGCGTGTTGTTTGATGGGGAGAAGACAGGCCAGCGGAGAGAGGCCGCGGCAGAGCGCCGGCAGCAGGGCAGGCCAAACAGCAGGCTGGGCACGGACACTGGATTTTATTGACTAGTTTTGTAATAAATAAAATGTATTTATAAAAAATGATGCACGTGTTTCGATAGGCAGCAATGGCTGAAGTGGAAGTAGCAGAACAGATCTGCGGTGCCCACACCGTGGGGGTGTCTGTTGTAATGTGTCATACAGGCAGTTGCTTTTTCATTTTTTTTTATTTAAAGAAAAAAATTATCTGAGACATCTGTATCACTAGAATACTTTAGTGCACAAAGACAACATTGGACAGTACCTGGCCCAGCTGGGGCTGCCCTCATTTTTGACAGCTCTATCATAATGTGACATCAAAGACTAGTAGCAAAAAAATCCACCAGCAATCCAAATATAAAATTATTGTACAAATATATTTTTCTTTATAGTACATAATCATTTAAAATACATAATTTCCTTAGTAAATGTTTGCAACAATATTAAAATAAATAAAATATCCTAGAGAAATTCAGTGTCGTCATGAAACTGCAAACCAGGAGTATAAAAATTAATTTAATTATCAAAGTCTACCTCTGAGATGTTTTGTCTTATTTCTTTTTTTAGGCCAGAGTAAAAAGTGTGTAAAGGTGCCAGACCAACACAGACTACTACAGTTCTACTGCCAGGAGTCCTACCTTTCACTAGATACTGAGGTCAGCCTGCACTCATCCCGCTGCGAGCGTGTGCAGGGTCAGGTGGAGTGTCTCCTAGGTTTTAAGAGGAAATACCAATTCACCCTTAACCGTGGAGACATGACAGATGTCGACTGGCTTGCAAGTCAAAATCCTCTTTTCCTTTGTTCTCACCTATGCACGCGGTGCGGTGCGCGGTTATGAAAGGCCATTTGGCCTTTTCTGCTAAGTTGGAATCGCAGCTGCTGCATGAAAAACAAAGAGGAGGAAGTTTTCTGTGCGCCTTGCTGACATTGTCCCTTAATTCGTTTGCAGGAAGTGAATCCAAAGAAGCTTTTAACATTCTGATTTTCCTATTTTCCATCCAGGTTTGATTATATTTCTCACATTCTTCTGACTGTCTGGGCCTCTCACCCCAGCAAGAACATTTCTAACAATTTTCTGAAATGATTATGTCGGGCCAGGCAGGTTACTTCTGCTTGCCCTCTCGTCTGTACCGAATTAAAGCAGCTTTTCAAAGGAAGTCTGGTTTTACCATTAAAGGTGGCAAAACTGCAAAGAATGTACTAACTTGTACACGATTAACCATGCAAGGGAAGTAATTCCCAAACGCACGTGTAGTTGCTGTAGTGAACACCTCCGTGCATGGCTCCCGCCGCTTCAGAAGCACTGGTCCTGTCGGGCACTGCTGACAATTCACTCCACAAAGAGGGTGCCCACACCACACCTCACAGCCTCGTCTCCTGCACTTCTTCCTCTGTCTCCTCCTGCAAAGCAGTGATCTGGGGTCGAGCTTTGCGTTTGCTGGAGTTTCTGTGGTGCACCGGGAGCAGCTTCAGGCGCTCGGCGTGGCTGATGGCTTGCCTGAAGGAGCTCTTTTCATTCAGCAGCTTCTGAATGGATTCATACTGCCGCAATTTACTGTCCTCGATTACCTGAAGAAATGTATCATTTTGTTAAGACGGTCAGCGGTGGTGCTGACAGAGTTCAGCTAACACAGCTAACAGAGGAGAGACACAGAGACAGAAAAGAGATCTTCTAACAGGAAAAGCCCCCTTTACAGTTTGCAATTTCTAATTACAACCATAAAAACAGACGTTAATATTTTAACATGTGGAAAAGGTGCCTCTTGCTCAAGTTACAAAATGCCGTTGGGCTTGCTGGTTTCTCCTTGTGACTTGGTTTTTACCTCTGAGATTACCTGTCGAAGTCTCCAGGTACTGTGGCATTTCCCCGGCACTGCTAAATTGCCAGGTTAAGAAAGTGTTAACTGCAGAGAACAGTTCTATCGAAAGCAGAGGGAGAAGGCTGCCAGCAAAGTGTCGGGCCTTCTTTGCTTTCTTCTCGACAAACAAGGAAGCGCTGCCAGCCTGTGTTTGAAGGAGACAACAGGTTTGCCCTGTCCGGCTGTGCCAGCCTCCCCCGTCAGGCAACAGACAGGAAAAATCAGGCTCCCTCGCTGGCACTGCAATGCCAGCACGCCTCGGGTGAGGGCACAGGTCCGATGGGAAGGAGCTTCTAGCAGCTCTGTTGCTAAAATGGTGTTGGGACGGTGGCAAACCTGCTCCGGGCAGAGGCTGCGTGCTTGCTGGGGTTCTGCCAACACAGCCTGGGCTGCGGGCTGGGGACAGGGCTGAGGTCCAGCACATGGAGAGGAGCAGCACATCCAAAAGGACATACAACTTGCCTGTTGACTAGCCTGCTTCAACTTCAGGCTGTATTCCTCCTGTTGTGCTAATGCAATCGAGCAAATATACATGGAAAACAGTATTTCACTCGGCTAATAAAATGAAGGTCTCCTCTTATGGAAGAGTCAAGAAAACAAAGAGGAAGGAACCTCATTTTTAAGAACAATTACATAACTTGCCTTTTATTTCCTTTACCAACCAATTTTATATAACAAAGGAAATACCTCAGGACTTTCAGTACTTTGTCACCTTGATGAAATGAGAAAGGAATATTCAAGTGGCTTGATGAAAGAAATCAGCAATTCTGACCATCGGATGTTTTCTTAGGAAACCCCTCATTCCTATGCAGCCTCCTATTGCTCAAGAGCAAGTGCAGCCATTTCAGTATTTGCAATGGTAAAGCCTTGTGAGGTGCTGGGAATTTTTTTTTGGAGCTCCTGAGTCAACTGGCAATATAAGACACCTGGATCAGCAGCTGGATAACCTAAACAGCTGTCTTTTTGGTTGAAAGAAGGAATAATGTGACCCAGCTCATCTGAACATAGGTGTCTAAGACAGCTCAGGCGAAAGAGCAAGCAGGAGCCCACTGCTCTTCTGCAGGTGTCTCCATTGCTCAGCTGCCCTGAACGACCCCCCATCAACCCAGCCAACTTCATCAGTTCAGCTTGGTGCGTTTTGCACGTTCATCAATTGTAATGAAACAACGGTACATGAGACTACGAGAAACGCTCACCAAAAATCGCTGGCACTCCAGCATCGCCTCCAGCCTGTGCTCAGAGAGTATCACTGTGCAGTTGGCAAACGCATGCTTCAGGGTCTTCCTGATCACTCGGGAGGTTCTGAAAGGCAAACAAGCACCAGCATTTAGACTGTGATGCACGTGCCAGCACAGCTCTTAACTTTACTGATGGTATTTAGTAGTCTAGCTGTGTGTTGTAAAGCTCATAGATTCATAGATTTCTAAATTGGAAAAGACCTTAGAGATCATCCAGTCCAACCATCCCTAATCTCCCATTAAACCAAATTCCTAAGTAGTCCATGCTCACACACATGGACACCAACACTCTGCAGCATCTCAATGTGCTGCATTTCTGCTGTGAAAGTGCGTATCAGCCATAAAGCTAAGGTAGTAACTGGGCTTCTCTGATCCTCCATGCAGAATTACTAACATATATTACTGAAATCGGATTTAGTAAGGGACCAGATCAGTTACAAAAGGTCTCTTTCAGTGTTGCTGCCTCACTGATTTTCTTATTTTGTACTAGAAGATAGAACAAATGAAAGAAACATACACAGGGTCCAGGTGAGCACTTGGTTCATCGAGCAGCAAGATTTTAGCTTTGCTGAGAACTGACCGGGCAAGGCACATCAGCTGTTTGTGGCCATGACTGAGGACGCAGCCTCCATCCACAAGAACGAAATCTAGCTGGCCTGGAAATTGCTCAATTACAGACTTCAGCCCAACCTGCCAGAAAGAAAAAGGACAGGAAAAATCAGTGACATACAGTTACTGCTGACTGTGGCTATGGCAATTTCCTTGCCTTTCATTTCTGACAGCAAAAAGAAAATATAAATTGATGAAAAGGAGAATCTATCCTATAAAGACAACAAGCTAGTAGCTGGATGATGTGAAAAGCACTGAAATACTTGACTCTTACAACATGCTGGGATTTATATTGGGAAGCTAAGAGTTACTGCTTCATTTGTTTGTCACATACAATGAGCTTTGGCATTTTGACCAAAACATTCTGAGTTAGCAGGCTAGAGAGCAATGTATTTGAAACTTTTTATCCAGCAGTAATTTAAGTCATTAGAAATGTTAAGGAAAGTGATTTTTGAAAGGAAACCAGGCCTCTTTGGTTACTAGAAGGGTGAAAAGAAACAACCAGAATTCACACGCTACATTACAGCAACAGAGAAAACAACCCAGGTCATCACGGCCACTGTCTCTGTGGCTCTGAGAGCACTTTCATCTGCTGCTTATGCTGCCCCAGAAGTCCTGTGCACTTTGGTCACACTGATGGTATCATGGGCTTCCCTCTAGTACTGCTGACAAAATGTTGAGAGAGGTGCCTGTGCCGAGTGAAGCTGCTTCCTTTGGACTAGAAACCGGAATCCAGACCAGGAGATGTTTTCTGACTGTTTCTTCCAGTGCTCTCTTTTCTGCTCTCATTGGGACATGCATTATGTACACCTCAAAGCAAAGCTTTGCATCTTCCACAGGTCCAAACCAACTGGGCTTCTGGGCCTAATCATCAGCGTTTACAGATAACTTTTTGTAAATATGAGAACTAGGAAACGTGAGTTGCATTGCTCCAAAAAAATGTTATAAAAATGCAATGCTATCCTAGTGGTTTATGAAGAGCCTTTCTTGGAATTTTAAAATATTACTGATCTGCAATTAATTTGCATTCCAGGGCAAACAATACTTGGAATTCTTCCTTTGTGTTTCCGTTTTACATGGAAACTGTATTGAACTGTGGTGTGTGGGTACACGTGTTGTGTTTCTCAAGAGTTCATGCTTTTATTTATAAGCCAATTAAGGCCAGTGCTTTGTTCCTCACTCCTCTTTTGAAACACATCATGTCCTTTAATGAAATTTTGCATCTAATGGCTGGAAAAGGTGCTTTCTTCTTAAAACTGCACAAGGTCTTTTCCTGTACCTGTAGGGTCCAGATAGCAGACTGCAAGAGTAAAACTTAGCCTCAAAAGCTGACACAAGTCTGACAGATTCAGGTGCTGAAATATGGGGGTAATAAAAAGTGAAGCATCTGACATTCATTCTGACAACACCTTTCTCTCTGCAACTGATTGTGGGGAGCATAAAAAGCTGATGCTGATCTCAGGAGGACCCTCTAAATCCTCAGCAGCCAACGTGGGTCAGGGATAAGCTGACAGTTAACTTTCTTTCTGTGCCATGCTCCTGAGCTTACACTGACTCACTGTCACTAAGGAGCCAGATTTCAAGAGCACGAACTTCATAAACAATCCAATCACTCCTACTAAAAAGTATTACAGCTCTTTTTCTTTTCTATTTGCTTTGTACTCTCACCTGTGCAATGAAAACCGCTGTATCACATTTGGATTTGCCAGACTCCTTAATCATAAACACTTCAAAATATTTTTTTTCACGCTGTTGTAAATGGGGGTCAGGTCTTTAAAACCCCAGGCTCAATTCACATACACAGTGAAAACAATCCTCAAAAGCAGAAAGAGAGTTTGTCTTTTTCAAGAAAGGGGATGTTAATCCACCTTCCATCTTTTCCAAAGCCTCAGAGGAGAGAAGAAGCACAGCACTGAGCACCCTGTTGCTTCTGCTGGGACCGGCTGAAAAGCTGCTATCACCTAATTTAACCAAAAACATCATGATGTATTTATTTGACTGTGAATTACTCACAGAAATTGTCTACTTTCCTCTTTTCCAAACATAGGGAAGAAATTAGATAAACCCAAGAGAGAGAGCAGAGAGAGTTAACCCCCTGGATGAGAAAGGAGGAAGCTTTCGGATTAAGTCTCACACTTGTAAGAATTTTCTGATACTTGAGACTTGCAATGAACAAGGGAAACGGCACCAACTCATTGCTAAGTCTGTATTAATTAGGTCATCCCTACCTCGGAAAGAGAGATCTGCTTTCTAGGCTGCAGCTCTCTCCCTCCCTTAACTCTCATCCACCTTTTCGCGGGGCATGACGCACACCTGTGCAGCCCATCAGGCACTACCAGAGCCAACAGGTGGCATCTGACAACCGCAATGCCTGGGCTTCAGCCCAGCGTGGAAACAGAACTGTAAAAATCCGGCCCCTGATCTTGGCCAATTCGAAAACAAAAATGTTGCTAAAACCTCAACGTAGGTTCAGAAGAAAACCTTCAGGTTCATAAAATCTAACATTCCGTGATTCTTATTTTCCACGGAAGAGGTAGCTGCCGATGACAGAAGCAGTACACAAGCCTGAGCGCGGTGTCAGCGCGCTCCTCCTCAGCTGGCTTTGCGCTGGCCTGAGGATCACAGCAACTGGAAACTATTTTGACAAAGGACTTTTCTAAGCTGAATATAAATATTTCCTATTGCAATAACACCAGTCTTATTTCTAGGGCAGGCCACAGACGTTTTTCTTTTTCTTTTCTGGCTTCCAGAATGTTTACGAGTCATTTTTATACGTTTTGGTAGAAAAATTCCTTGCAGAGTTTTGGTATGTTTGCCAAAGCACTAAACCGAGAAAAGATTACAGGACGTTTTGCTGTATCAGCTTCCTCCACTTCTTTCTCTCACGATTACCCAGCAGAGCCAAATATAAAAGCTCACCTATGTTAAATCACTGCATGAGGAACCCAGACTGTGCCGTAGGGAAGTTTGTTGTTTTTTTTTTAATCTCTGACAAAGGCGCCTTTTTATTAGGTAATAAGGAAACACGGTTTATAGCATAGCATTATCTTTCCTCAACATTTTTTTTTCTAACAGTCTATATAAATGTAACACATGACAATCATTTGACCCACACTGAACTCTGCTGTAACACTTCACCAGAGGGATACAAATAACATGGTTTTACCTCCTCTGCAACTTTCCATATTTCTTCATCATTCCACTGCCCATAAGGATCCAAATTCATCCGAAAAGTTCCAGAAAATATGAACACTTTCTACAAGGAAAAAGATTTAACAGACACAAGTAGATAGACATCGTGAAACATTGTGTAAAGCGCTGTAAATTGTAAAGCATTTAGTGAAAAGAATAACCTTCTGCCATTACCAGATGGAGTTTATTGCAGGTTAGTAAAATTTTTGTAAAATATTGTTCCAAAAAAAGTGATTTTAAAAATCCTTATGTTCAGTTTCTGGCAATTGTCTTAAAAAAAAACTTAGCCACACTTGTCTGAAAAACAGCAAAAATCAAATTTCAGCAGTTTTCAGCATAAAAGATTTTCTGTGTTTCCATTTTGGAATAAACTTTTTAAAAACTATTTTTGATTCTTTCTTACGTGAAACATATTAAAACAAAAAAAGATCACTATACCAAAGTGTGTGTTTCCACAATTTCGTTCTGAATATCATTGGATTATTTGTCAGTATTCAGGGACACAATCCTAAACTGCTTTTCAGCAATTCATTTCTCTTTTTCTAATCAATTGTAGCCAAATATATATCAGCATCGTCCTGTTACCTGACGCTTCACCATGTCCCGGTCCTATCCCATCCCAAAAGAGGGGTTTTTTCCTCTCTCTCTCACTGCCACGCCGCTGAGATGTGACACAGCACGACTCGATTCACGACTGCAGCAGTGAGAATCCGCTCTTGTACGAGGCTTCCCTGATTGATGCTGTGGCCTGTGCTCTCTCCCTGCTCTGTCCCTCCTTCCGCCACACAAGATGAAGAGGATGCACATTTCCTGGCACTGAGAGTGCATCCTACTCGCCCTCAACTTTACTACTCAGTTCTGCTTTTCTCATCAGTTTAGGCAAGCAGATTTAAGTGAACAACCCTTAGATAAACGTTTTGTAGTTCGAAAAGCAATGACTCAGGCAAAATTAAATATTTGTTTAATCTCTTTTTACATGGGGTGGGTGGGTCAGATTCTGGTCAAAAGGAGGTTCTACAATGGACACTGAGGTTGCACAACATTTCTTATGAGATAAAACCAAGCTGTTGCTTTCTATGCTGCGAGGTACACCTGCTGCTTGTAGCAGGGAGAACTTGCCCGCAAAGAAAGTAAGTGTGTGTCTTGTTGAGAAATATTACCATTTGCTTGCTCTCTCCTTGTACATACGGAACAAATACCAAGAGGAAAGATTTGACACGATTATTTTCTTCTCTTTTGTCTTCCTAAAGAAAATATTTATTTAAAGAAAACACGTTGAAATGCCAGCTATACACAGCCACATATTTTCTTGGAGTCTTGGTAGCCAAACGCTACTGAAAGCCGTGAAGGACTGCTGTAGCAGCAGAGAATGGCTGAGAGAATATACCTAGCATATACTTTCCCAGAGTTTGGCCAATCTACCACAATTTCCATCTGACCTAAGCTGGCAACTTGGCATTCTTTCATCAAATTTCAAAAAGTGATTTATACACACATTTACATTAATCATTTAATTATGCTTAATTAAAAGTTTAAGCGTGGCAGAGGGAAATAAATTACATTAATTAATTTGCTTAGTTAAGATACGTAAGCCATCGCCAACAGCTTATTTGGTGCAAGAGAGAAGGAAATGCCTGATTCAAGAGAGCAGAGGAGAAAAGCGGCGGCACTGGGGTGCCCTGCAGTCAGCGGGGTGGATTTAAGCGTGATGATGCCGTCACCGCGCTGCCAGCAACGTGCCGACTGAGCTGCAGCGGAGGCAGCGGTGCGCACAGCTAAAAATCATTGAAGTACTTTTGGTAGAGACTAGGAGGAAAGAGTAGACTCTTTCCTTTATAATCATGATTGTTAATAACGACGAATGCTTTGGTGAAGTACAGCGCAGTCCTTTTCCCATGCCCTGCACTGGTGTGAGAGGGGCGACATATTAGCAGCAGGATTAGATTGCTCCAAGTAGTGGGCGCGGTGGAAATCATAACACTGTGGGAACAGTGTAAGGCGCGGGTTTGTTCACACTTTGAGTGCCATACATTCAACTAATGGAACAGGTATTTTAATTTTTCAGTGCTAAAGAATAGCTAACTGAACAAACCAGTTTCAAAGAAGATAGGGCTGAATAACATTCATGCTGAAGTGCAGCAGGTAGAGAAAAAAGGGAACTACTTTCTTCAGAACCTGCTGTTACTTCTAATAACTGTGCTTTCAAGAAGCAGGGCACTAAAAGCCAGCTATTCCCAAAAGTACCTTTTTTTTCACAAGGTAAATATTTCATTGTCCTGCATTCTGGTACTTCTCTCTCCATTTCAACACCTCCTTCCTCACAGGTCATTAGAAACTACATAGGGTTCACTTGAGTAAATATCATGTGAGTCACATAGGCAGTTTAGAATCCACTTAAAAAGCTGCAGAAAAAAACCCCATGAAAATTCTTAAAAGCTAGAAGGCTAAAGTGAAAAAAAGAAAAAAAAAAAAAACAAAAATGAATCCCATGGACTTATGTGTTGTTTATAAATACGGAAGAAGTAGATACAAGCAGAGCATTGAAAGAGGGAATGGATGGCTGGGAAGACTGGCAGCAAATCTGGAACTGTTTCCTTCTCAGTCACTTGTTCTAATTCACCCAGGATGATAATGGGTGTGATCATTCAACAAATAGTTTCCCAGACCCGACATCTATCCACAAGCAAAACACTCGGGAATATAAATACTGTCATGTGTATGTTCTGACCACCCGAAATACTGTAAATCAACCCCTCTAAAGGGCATCAATCTCCCTCAGTGGCTAGAGCCTCTGTGTACTGGTTACGATGTGGAATACACCCAGCTTGTGGTGATAAACTTCATAAGTGATTTAAGTGTCTCCAAGACCTTGGAGAACCTAAGCAAATGCCTACAGAAGAGTAAAAGATCAATTGACAAGAGGCTCCTAAGGAGTGAGAATATCCTGTCTGTGAGTAGCTGCTGTTGCAATGAAAGAAAACGTGTGTGCAGGTCCTCAGCGAGACCTAGGGACCCTTGTTCCCACACGCCCCAGGGCTGGAGAACAAATGCAACACCAGCTGGAACCAGACACCAGCTCTACACAAAGAGAAGTTAGAGTAACAACAATATGACCTCCATGTAGACTCCGCCATTTCGTATATATTATGGCAACAATATCAACATGCAAGAAAATCAAATTGTTATGTGGATGCTTTAGTATTAGGTGCAGAGTTAGAGGTTTTGTTTTCATAAGTGTCTTTTAAGGACTTTAGATTGACATTAAAATATTTACAGACAAGAATAAGAGCATGGCAGCAATGAAGGCCTCCTGCAAGTTTTTTGGGACCAGTTCTGTAACGTTCTCCCTGAAGATGCTAAAATGTCTGCCTCTCATAGAGCTTGCTGGTAAACACAAGTGCTGTGCTCCTGGCAATGCTGAACCCATGATGAAGAAAATAACCTATATACTGGCCGAAATGAGCATATGGGGTTCTTAACTAATGTCCCCAGGTGCTCTGGTGCAGCAGATGCTCCCTGGTATGGTGATGCTGGCTTGGCTCAATGCCCTGCAGGAACCCAGCCTCTGTGAGACCCCCTGCGAGACCACCTCTGTGGAGTGGCGGGGCTCAGCAGGCTGCACCGTGCAGGAGTGACCTGGCACGCTGCAAAACAGCCATCTCCACAACCTCCGAAAATGAATAGCCCTGAAGGGTATGAGAAGCGATGCAACAGTGCTGGAGACATACAGACAGACAGACAGATAAAATGAACAAAGTGAGATAACTACTGAAAAATTAGAAATACAAGGATGAAATTCCTTGAAATTAGAACTACAAAGTGAAATTTCACTTCTTAAGTAAAACAAAGGAGCAGAAGTGATTTGACTATCTTTTTTAAAGCTGGCAGTCCCACAAACTGTAGTAATCTCGTTCTCCATGCTAAGCTTGATTTCAACTCTGTATGGAGCATTTACATGTAGAAAACTGTGAGATTCACCAGGATGCAGTGGAGTAACAGTCAAGAACACATTAGAAGTCATGCCCTTCCTTTGAGCTAGCAGCACCTTATGTGTGTCAGGTTTTTCCTCATTTATTTTAACAGAAAAGTGGCTGCAGGTCTCCTGTTCTCCATTCAAAGCCAAGTTTCTGAAGGCATTTTCTCAATTTGACTCCATTAAATACTTCAGGATGCAATCTGCATAAGGACCTGTATGCAAAAGAGCTTCAGCGGAGCTGAATACAGCTGCAGCTGGAAGTCCTCACCCTGGAAAAGTGATGGGAAACTGTTGCAGAAGAAGCATCAGAAAGGACTGCCCAGAAAGAAGGGATGATAGGCTTTGATTATACTTCAAACAGCCAGTTATCGCTGGACTAATTGTCTTGCATGAGAATGACAAACATCCTGTAGGAGCAGCGCTGTGGTCAGACTGTGCTTGAGCAGCACAGGCACATGAGGAGCTACATGAACTTCCTTGAGGGTGCTCCAGGAAACATGTTTTATATGATTTACCCCTTCACACCACTGCAATGCACTGACAGCTGGATGTGAGCTACTGAAAGAAACAGGTTTTTGCCTTTGCTTCTAGGTTTGATTCCTGACCACCCTGCAGGCCATTCCAGCATTGCCTGCGAGGAGCAGACAGAAATGTGTTTAGGACACTGTTTGTGCTATGCAGACGTGCATCAGTTAGGTTCCCACAGAGGAAAAGTACTTCTTTATTTCTAAACTGGGAAATTTAGGGATAAGGAAGGGAAGGAGAATGTTGAAAAGTTTTCACAAGGAAGCATGCCTCAGGTAGAATTCTGTTCTTCTTTTGTTAGCAAGCTTCTCCTGAGGATGGCGAATATCCAGGTGTTGCTGTAGGCCAGCATCCCAGGAAAGGAAAGGCAACTTTTTTTTTTTTAGTTCCCCATTCTGTAGCCATAGGTGAATGGCAAAGAACAAAAGGCTCCCTTTGTTCTGCTGGGAAAGGCAGGGTGGCATATGCAATTTCTCTTCCCTGCTGGGAAAGTGCTGGTGAAAACTTCATTTTGTTCTGAATGTGGGAACTTCTGAGGCATAATGTGCAGTTCTTTGGCAAGGCTTTGGGATAGGAGCTGCGAGCTGAAGCATGCAAACAGGCTGGCAATTCTCGTGACCTTCCAGAGAATGGAGGGCTGGGATTTTTTGGCATTGATCCAAATATCAGGGACTTCCAAACTGAACCAAATGTGTAATTTTAACAATGAACTAACAATGCACCTCATAAGCAGGAGGGCAAGTTACACTGCTCATTTAATAAATGTCACTGGCATTTTGCTGATGGCTGCAGAATGATGTTTTCTATATCATTAGTAACTCCACGGTGAGTACTCAGCTATGAGAATTATTACCATGTTTTTCACTGGGACAACGATGCTACTTGTTACCAAGCATTCAGTTTTCTTCTCAGTTTATGCCTTCCCCAGGACAGCTGGAGATGGAAAGCAGAAACCCTGCTGGGCAACCACATCCCAAAGGAAGAAAGCGCTAAGAGCAAAAGGATGACTATGGGAGAGACAGAGAAGTCCCTTCCAATACAGAAAGTTACGCGTGGCTGTATAGGAGAATTTCACAACAGAGACATAGCTCACACTGGTAAAAGCATCCTTCAGCCTATACAGCCATCCTTTGGAGGACAGCTGTATAACATACCTGTTATACACGCACAGATGCAGCTGCATTTGCAGTTCACCGCATAGCTGCCTCTGTCTGAAGGGGTGACTTTTTTTCATACTTGCAAGCAACAATCATGCTGCAGAACTGAACCAGCAATAACAAAGAAATAAAAATTTACAGAAATGGATAGGTGTGAAAATGTTGGAGAGGACAGAAAGGTTGACAACATGTCAGCTATCAAAGGGCAGTTGCCAAGCAAGCCTCAGCTCAGGAGACAGCGTGTAACCAACCAGGCTGTCGATAGAGCTCAGGCAAGAGACAAATCTAACCAGTGGACTCACCCATGCTCTCTCGGTTCTGCTTTCTTGAGGGTATAACTTGGTAGTGAAGAAAGGGTCTGTTCTGGTAAGGTCAAAGTGCTAAAAAATTGCTACTTTTGAGGAAATTTCAGAGCATTACTGTGGAAATGCAGAGAGGGGAGAGAGTTGCGCCTTCTTTGCATGCCTACTTTAAATAAATGCCACTCAGGCTACTGTGGGATAACGTTTTTGAAGGGGAAGCTATCACAACTCAAAAGTGATCATTAAGTAGAAAAACTAAATTTTGAGTCCCTCTTGTGTTTCCAAAATCAAAGCCCTTGTGTTTCTAGCAGGAGTATTCCAGCATCTTTTAAGAGTTACCAAAGCCAAGATCGTGCCATCAGGAACACCTCGGTCAGAGTTAAATCCCACCTCCACGACAATGAAATAAATCACGAGTGGCTACAGTGACTGAGTGACAGTCGCATTAGTGACTTCACCACCATTAGCTTGGTTTGTTGTAGTGGTAGAAAGCAGAATTTAGCCTACATACCCAACAGAGGGTGAAAGTGAAGACAGACCTCTGCTCTGCTATGATGGTTATGGGAAAGAAAACAACTATTTTGAAAACATAAACCTGACAGCATGTTTTTTAGTTAAATCAGCTGGCTGTCTCAGAGTGTCTCCAACTATTTTAAAGTGCCTAATGTAGTCAGTGCACAACAGCTTTATACCATACACACGTTCAATGTAGCTCATCAGCTTTCTAAGAAAGACAGTAACCACCTTTCTAAGACAGTAGACTATCTGGGAACAAATCAATATGCACAGAAAGCAGCTGGCAACTCCTTTACGGTGAAGACAGGATGAGGGGAATAGTACAGTAAGGGTTTGACAGCTGACAGTCAAAGGAGATCCTTGGTCATCCTGGTTGGTCTACTCCTTGTGAGCCTCTCAAGGAGTGGGCTAATCAGGATGACCAAGAACTAAACCATTCTTACCAATCTCTGGGGCTAGTAGCCACCTCTCGAGGATAGATAAAGGCAGGACAGACTGCATGTTCCCATGCAGCGTGGCAGGCTGATCTGCAACTGATGTCCCTCTGCCTCCTGGTATCACAAGTGACACATTAGTAAGATTGCAATCACCTGTTACTTGAATTAATCTGCCGCACTCACAAGATTTCCAAAGGAATGAACATTGTTATAGAAAAGATAATGTATGTTTAGTAGCTGAAGAACTATCCAGTGTATAGCTTTCGAAGAAGAGAAGGCAAATGCGTGTTACTCTTGTATCGGTGTTGTTGGAAAGGACTGATAGCTTTCAACAACAAAAATACAAAACATGGCACGAAAATTGCACACTTTGTTCCATCAATTTTCATTCCTACCTTTACAGTAAGCCATCACTTTTTAGTGTTACTGCATGCACCCAATAATGTTCATTTTTGAGACAAATAATCCAGAGCTGTAACTAATATAGGACACTGGTCCAGTGGCAGGGACATTGGCAAGGGACTCAGAAGCCCTAGGTTTAATTGTTTGCTTCTCCTAAGACTGTTTTTCTTGTTCCAGTTATTTTAGAGGATTAGGGTGCTTAAACCCATGTGACAAGCTGCTTCCTTTTTCATCTCTGAAATGGATTTACTTCCCATATGCTGGGACAGCTGCAAGCATAAATAACATGAAGTGCTCCCTTATACTTGTACAATGTATATGAGGTAATGAGAAGTAACAGCTAAAAAAGTGAGGAGTCCAAGTTGGAGACCAGCTAGTGGTCTAGTAAAACATGAGAAACGCAGTAATTCCGCTACAAGCCTGTCAGGGAAAACAGGCAATGTATAGTATCCACGTTAACCATAATATGTGACGTTAGGCTTTAGAAAACAGTAGCTGAGAACACCACTGATTGTATTTTTTTCTTTAGGTGGCACTATCTTATTTTGAATCAACATGCAGACTGTTTCAAAGGTGAAAGGATAAGCAGGCTACGAGCACTTCTGTTTGAGTGTGCTGTACCTTCCCATTCACATAAGAGTTCTTTTGTAAGTGGCATAGAAAGCCAGAAAAGTAGAGTTTGCTGTGAATCATTGCATACACCCATCCGTCCCAGTCCTCTTTTCACAAAATCTTCATGTTTTGTTTCCGTTTCTCAGCATAAAACAATTAACTTCCAGCTTGAAGGTAACTATGTGCATATGGATACAGAACCAACAAAAATAAAGGCACACAAATATACAATAATCTTATTACCTGAGGAATCACTCCAAATGCCTTTCTCCATTGCTGCACACTGACAGTGTTCCAGGAGACTCCATCAATCTGGATATCCCCTTTTGTATCCAGCAGTCTTAAAAATGCAAAAAGTAAAGTGCTTTTTCCTGAACCAGTTCTTCCCAAAAGACCTACCTGCAATGCAAATCATAAGAGCAAACATTTAATACTGCTCATATATTAACCACAGACCAAGGCAGAAACACTTAGAGATCTCAGCAGTGGAGAACGATCCAAGTAGATCTCAATGGGATAGTAAACGTCATTCATTTGAGAATGACAAAAGCCTACAGCAAGGGCTGAACGAAACACTGGGCCAGACTCGTTTGTTTTGTTAGAATTAATTAAGATGAAAAATATGTTAGTCTCTCCTTAGCCAAAGAACAGAAATTTGCTAATATAGTATCTTTTACTGATTAGTCCACCTCTTTGTGCCCTTCCCCTTTCTTTCGCTATGAAGCCCTCTTCAGCAAAACCCCATCCAGCAGACAAAAACCAAGTAGGCAGTGCACTTGAATCACACTACTAAGCTACTTCGTTTCCATATAATTGAAAACAGAGGGCCTAACTCTGATCAGACCATGAATTTGTAGTGGGTCAGCTTGGGTCTGAGGCAGTGGTCGCAGCACACACCATGCCATCGCTCACCTCCAAGCAGCAATGCAAGTCCTTAACCTGCCCAGCTGATGCTGCCTTTCCTTACCTCTCAGGTGGGAAGAAACAAAATACATGAGTTTTTTTTCAAATTTTGTGTTTTCCTTGTGGGATTGCACCAATATATTTCTAGAACAAGCAGTATCTGCAGCAACCACCAGCAAATGCTGAGATACTGCCTTTTCTAACAGCTGGGTTTTACACAGCTAATGATGTCCTGTCTGAGCGTGGGCTGCTTTTGTAGGGTGACGATATACACGTGAATGGGAAGAGGGGTTTCTTCCTGCTGCCTGGCATCCTTTCCGTAACAGTACCTCAGGCCTCCGAACCAAATGAGCAGTCTGTGCTGTGTTGCACCGACTCAATCTATTGATTGGGTAGATTTGTATCCTAATCTACAAAAAGGGCATGAGAGAAGACCCAGGGAACTACAGACCTGTTAGTTTAAACTCAGTTCCTGGAAAAGTTATGGAGATGATTATACTGCGTACTACTGAAAAGCATTTAAAGAATGATGCAATCATCAGGCACAGTCAACATGGATTCACAAAGGGAAAGTCCTGTTTAACTAATTCGATCTCCTTCGATGACAAGGTCACCCACCTAGTGGATGAAGAGAAGACAAGGTGGTGGATGTAGTTTTTCTGGATTTTAGTAAGGCTTTTGAAACTGTCCTTCACAGTAGTACAGAACTGTCCTTTTGGACTAGTTGTCCAACCGCGGTATGAGTGGGTTCAGAGTGCGCTGGGCGAAGAACTGGCTGAACGGCAGGGCTCAAAGGGTTGGAGTGAATGGTGACACATCAGGCTGGTGACCGGTCACCAGCAGTGTTCCTCAGGGTTCAATTTTGGGGCCAGTTCCCTTCAATGCATTTATTGAATGTATTGAATAGCTGGATGCAGGAGCTGAATGCACCATTAGCAAGTCTGCTGGCAATACCAAACTGGGAGGTGCTGTTGACTCTCTTGAGGGACAAGTTGCCTTGCAGAGGGATCTAGATAGATAGGAGCATTAGGCAATGATTAATGGGATGATGCTGGATTCTGCACCTAGGACAGAGTAATGCTGGGCACAAGTACAGATTTGGAGAGGAGTGGCTGGAGAGCAGCCCTGCAGAAGGGGATCTGGGGTGCTGGTTGACAGCAGGCTCAATGTGAGTCAGCAGTGTGGCCTGGCAGCCAAGAGGGCAAACCACATCCTGGGGTGCATCAAACACAGTAGAACCAGCCAGTCAAAAGAGGTGACTATCCCACTGTATACAGCGTTGGTGCAGCCTCACCTTGAGTACTGTGTGCAGTTCTGGGCCGCACAATTTCAGAAGGATGTGAAGGTCCTTGACTACGTCCAGAGGAGAGCAAGAAAGCTGGTGAAAGGGCTGGAAGGGATGTCCTAGGAGGAGCAGCTGAAGACTTTGGGCTTCTCTAGTTTGAAGAAAAGGATACTGAGAGGTGACCTCATTGCTCTCTACAGCTTCCTGAGAAGGGGAAGTGGAGAGGGAGGTGCTGATTTTTTCTCCCTGGTATCCAGCTATAGGACACGTGGGAATGGTTCAAAGCTGCACCAGGGGAGGTTTAGACTGAACGTGAGGAAGCATTTATTTACTGAGAGGATGATCAAACAGTGGAACAGGCTTCCTAGAGAGGTGGTCAATGCCCCAAGCCTGTCAGTGTTTAAAAGGCATTTGGACAATGCCCTTAATAACATGCTTTAACTTTTGGTCAGCCCTGAATTGGTCAGGCATTTGGACTAGATCATTATAGGCCTCTTCCAACCAAAATAGTCTTATTCTACTCTATTCTATTCTACCCCCTCAGCAGAGGAGAGCTCTCCCCTTTCCTGTTCGTTTCACATGTGCTTCCCAACATGACAGAGACAAATCCTCTCCAGTTTAAACTGCACGCTCCAATTCTGGAAATGCTACCTCTGAGTCCAGGGTTCATTACCAAAATTGGATCAAGTTTCTAAATCATAGCCATTTAAAAAAGGATCTTTGTTTTAATTGCTCTGCCTTCTCTGTACAGTACAAATCTGTACAGTACAGTACAATATTTCATTTTCCATAGTCCACTGCTTCAAGGGATTTTCCAGGAAGTAAATCCACCAGAGTGCAGCAGCACCTGCACCTCCACGCTCCAGGAATCACAGGTACCTCTCTTCCAAAGGCAGAGTGGTTTCAGGATGGCGCTACAGGAAGTCAGACCCCTGGTTTCAAAATTTTGATGCCCTAAAACTTTGTAGGTGAAACATTCAGTTCAGGTAAACCAAGACAGATCTACCAAACCTGGCAGAGACTGGTGCTATCCAAACTAGGAGCAAAGAGCTGCCTCGTGGCAAGGTCAGAGAGCTGTCACTGAACCTGTTTTCTCATATATGTGGGAGAGTTAAAATCTCTTCTTCATCCATATGGCTCTAGCTCAGGAAATCGCGCGAGCCTTTCTTCCCGCCCCATGGGGGATGGTCCTTTATCATGAACGTAAAGCAAAGTGTTAAACCTCTGCCTGATTGCTGTCCTGAAAGTAAAGCTCTTTCTTGAATGCAACCTCAAACACGCATGAAGATTAATTAGAGGTTTGTCAATCTTCTGAAGAACAGAGTTGTTTATGGTTTGTTATATAATAATTCGGGTGGCGTAGAGCCCTCATCGAACGGGCGAAACGGCACCTCCACCCTCCGTCCGCCGGAGCCAGCGGTGCGTTACCCTTGGCACAGTGGCGGGTATTCTTTTGTGCCCTGCTCCACCTGGGTCAGGCTGCTCCCAGCACCTGCGCTCACCAGAAAGCTTCCCTCTCCCCAGAAGGAGAAGGTGGACAACTTCAGGCACAGGAATATAACTTGAGGAACTGCTGCATATGTATTTTAGCAGTATACTCTGCTCCTCATGGCCAGCAAACATCCCCACTGTGCTTCACTGAGGTGTAAATAGTCTCAAGATTTCTAGGATAACAAAGGCAGATTTTCCTTGCCTTTTTTGTTTGTACTCAGTAATCCTACAGATGAGCTCTTTTTAGAGAGGCACCAGACATTTCTGTTCTTCACGTGCTTTAGATGATTACTTTGTTTTGCATGAATTTCATTTACAAAACCTTACCAAACTCAACCTACTCTTTAGTCAACGAATAGGTTTATAATGACACTTCTATAGTTGAGCTTAATAGTAGTTAGATCAAACACAACAAAACAGTGTCTCACCCTCTGCCCTGAACTTATTGAAAACGAAATATTTTCTAACACAGCAGCTCCTCCTTCACCATATTTGGCTGTAAGGTCCTTCACAGTCATTTGGCCCCCAGATGGCCAGTCCTTCTCTTCCTTTGCATGCTTGTTTTCAATTACAAGGGAATCTGACAGCTGGTCATTCTTCTGTGGCTTAATGTTTCTCGTCTCTTCTGTTGGCATGTCAATGAATTTAAATATTCGTCCGACAGACCGCATCTACGAATCAAAACAAACAGTATACTAATTGTAATTAATGCTTAGCTGTCAAAATAAATGAAATCAAATTATTTCTAATTCCTAGCCAGAATAGTGAGTCTCTTTTCTCTGTAAGTTATATCATGATAAAATTTTCAAAGGTAGGATACTTCTTGTATAGAGCTCTAGATTCTATTGCTCTAGTACTACTGACATTGGTCCAACACATGATTCTGCTTGCCTCCTTTTTAAATGGACACAATAGCTCTTTCTACCTTTAAAATATATTTTGAAAACTATAGATGACTTGTATTTATGAAAACAAAATATGATCATGAAAGCAATCTTGGAGTCTTCAAATCCTTCCTCTTATAGGGGGTTGCCCAAATCAAAAATTGAAGATCTTGAATAATAATTGATCTCCAAAGATCAGCAGACTGTATGGAATTTGAAAGATGGAAAGCAGTAGCATCAAGTAAAGAGGAACAAGCATCAGACATTAACATCTGAGTATTTATGAGAAATTATCTATATTTTTTACCAAATATTAGTAGGAGGTTCCATGATAATTTTATAACTGTTATTATATATATTATGTGAAATAATCAAGTCCTGTAGTTCATGAACTTCAGACAGAAGTTGCTAGTAGCAGTCTTGGTGAATTTTCAAAGGAGCACGGGACTAGAAGAGATCCTCTTGATTTTTTTATTTTTTTTAATGAGTCAAGGGTCAATTAATAAATAGTTAATTCATCTCCTTCGCTAGAACTTCACTGCTTAGGTGGTTAGAAAATATACTTTAAAGTCTATGGACCAGTTTGTTCTTTGAAATTTATCAATTTTAAATTCTAAATAGTTCTTTTTCCTAGCTGCTTTCTCCATTTGTTTATGGAGGGCTATCTTAGATCCAGTCACCCTTTGTTCTCCAGGACTAAAGAAAATCCAGGTTTAAGTCTCTTTCTTAACATATGTTCTTCTTCTCCAAACATCCCATTTCAAATTAATCTTTCCTGTCTGACGAGAAAGTACCTGGCATTTTGAAGGATGTTTCACAAGGACATTGTACAAAGGCATTGATACTTTCCTATCTATATTGGGAGTATCTCAATTAACACATCCGAGCATCATACGCTCTTTTCTTCACAGTCACATCTTACAGTCACTCTCTGATTCAGTAGTGGTCAGCCAAGCTTTCCTCCATCTTAGCCATTTCTAACTGAGGAGATCATTACTTACAACTAAGGTTATTCTTAGCAGTCCCTAAACTCAAGTCTTTGCACTTCAGCTACTGAAATCTATTTTATATCTGCCATTTGAGGTTACCTAATACCTTTCAACTCTCAGCATCCTTCATGCTAACATTGCCTTTCAGCTTTGTGTCTTTGGTAGATTTCTTCAACACAATACTTTTCTTCTTTTTTGAGAGTATTAAAAAAGACTAAAATGAGCTCAGTCATGAATCTAATCTTTGTTGAGTAGCCTTCCTACAGCTTAATACTTACAGCTTAATGCCATTTCCTTTCTGTCCAACTCATTAAGTAGTTTACAGTTCTTGTAATAATCCTGATCTCCTTCATTTATATGATTTCTGAAACAGAGCCACAGCCCATGTTTTCCTGAAGACAAAAGAGATCTGCTACATTATTTTTGTCTGGAAAATAAATCATTGAACACCATTATCAGGTCAGTCTGATGCAACCCCAATGTCAGCAAACCTGAGTGAATTCACTCTGCAAGCACTGCGTCTTTAATTACTTCTTCAAAATAGTTTCTGAAGACTGCTGCCATCAGACTAACAAACTAATGGTGGCATCAATGACTTCCCATTTCTCCTTCTTAACCAAAAGTGACAGTTGTTATTCTATAACCTGCCACCACCACTGGCATCTTGGTGGATTCATCTGAAGTGGCCATTACCAGATCTCCATCCTCTCAGCCAGTTCTTCCTGCACCCTAGGATAGGATGTCCAGCGTCACCTCGTCTACACGCATGGGGCAGAACCATTCCAGCCTGGTTTCACATGTTTAACTGAAATGTCCCACTGCAGAACGCAATCACACTTCCTTGAAGACTCTGATTTTAGATGGACTGACTCAGGGGTATCCCTCCACGAACAGCACAGGAAATTTAGGAAGACTAGGATTCTAACTCAGGTGCTTCAGTTACATGCCAACAGCTAGGGGTTTTTTTGCATATAATTTCCACCTCAGATATTGTAAATCCCATTTCAACCTTCTGCTCCAGTTTCAACTCCCCAGATTAAACACTGCCCTTTTACTGAAAACTGAGATTGAGTACTTGTCCAGAATTTGGGCCATTTGCAAGTCTATTCTGATTTTGTCAAGTCTCTTTTCTCTATCTTGACTTCCAACACACAGTTTGGGTTTTTTAACTAATCCTTCTGTAGAGGCTGTCATTTCTAATATGCTTTCAGAGAATGTTGTTCATGCTGGTAGTCCTAGAGTCTCCAAAATTTTCTATTATTTTTCTCCTGCTATATAGGAAAAGAATTTCAGCTGCTTACTTGAAGAAGATGTAACCTAACTTTACATTCAGATTCCTAAGTGCTTTAGTCCAGCTAACGTAATTAACTAGATTCTTCATTTCACCAACATTTATCCTTGTAAACAACAAGAGTAAACTATAAGATAGTGTCAATTCTTACTGGTCAGAAATTATTTAGCAAAATTAATTAATAAATAGAATGATTCCTGCATAACTGCTGCATCCAGGAATAGCTAGGCCTTATTACTAGCATTTGTTCTCTAATCTCTATTCCCAGTAGTATATCTCTCTTTAGTGGCATTGTGGAAAACCCTTTTTACATCTTTGGCCTTGTTTAACTGCTTTTGTATTCCTTCTGCAAAGTGATTCTACTTGATGTATTACCATTCCTTCCTGCTCTTCGATCCAGATTGAAATATTGTTAGGTGGATTTTCCATGTGGAAGCAAATTTATACACAATGCAAGGAAATACTGGGATCATAGCTTACATCTCAGCATCTTGAAACACAATTGTGACAGCAGTTTTGAAAAGCATGCTAATACCCAAGCCTATCGATTACAATTTCCATCTCAACCACTGTGCAAGGTGGAAAGGCATGGTCACCATCATGCTGATATATGAACGTCATCTCATTTTGGTGATACGAACAGGAAGACCTTGGATCAGACTGACAATTTTTTTCCTGTCTGACTGTCTACAGTAAATCCCACAATGAGCACCATGCATTTATTTTCATCAGTGTTTGATGGTACACTTGTTTTCAGAAATCTTATCTTTATAGAAATATTGCCACTTCAGAAATGAAGGTCTTTCTTGGCTTCATCAAGAGCTGTGAATGTCTGTACAGGCAGAGATTCCCTATAATTGCCCAATTAAACACTAGCTAAAATCTGCTATGAAAACAGCTGGACAAAGACTCTTCCCTTACAACAGAAAATTTCATCTCTGTGTCCCAGCTCCCCTGACAGATTTATCAGTCACATCACATATGCAGATATTTTAGACAGCTTAATAATTTAAATCAATTTAAAAGGATGCTTCCCTGGTTTTGTAATTTGAATTACGATTTAGATCTGGGCAGAATGCAGCATAAATGTCAGTAACATTTTACAAAGATATCCATTCTTCCCTTCACAGGTAGAAATCTTCTGTCATTCATAATGACAGGTATAGTGTAGATGACAGCAAGTTTCTTACCCATTATTCCCATCAGCAATGTGCCTGCTATATTCACATTCTCTAACTAATGCTTTAGAATAAAGAAGTGTATTTACTACTTCCTTCCATCTAAAAATATCTAGAGCATAATACACTATTTTTAGCCTTGCCTAACTGTATTTTACTGAGGTTTTAATAACATTGCAAATTCTTTAATTTACTTTCTTATTAATATCACTTAAACTCTTCTTAATGTTGAAGGAGAATTCATAATACAATATGCATTATATATTTCCGAAAGTGGAAGAAGTAATTATTTTACAAGTAATCTAATGCAATTCATTTCATCAGGCCCTACGTTCTCTTCTGCTAGAAAGAGAAGAGAGCAGTTACCCTCTTCCAGACCAGACATGGATAGTATTCAAGGACCACGTTGCAACACACCACCTCCTCAAAAACACGCTGTCTGGAAAGTGCAGTGTGCAACTTAGAGATTCTGTGAGAGGTTGGTCCAATGGCTCATGTTGTAAAAAAACTCTGTGCATTATGTCACTGCAAAAACTGGGTCAATGCAGATGGACCATATGCTTTTACTGAGTTTTCACATCTTCTGCTGTTACATTTTGGGTGCACTTATAGGACATATACTCCTCTTCCAAACTGCAAAAATGAAATATTTAGTTCATGCCAAACTTGTACTGTATTTTTTGCTCTTTCTCACACTGCTTTGCATGCAGAAAAGGAAACGTCCTACTAGGTTTTTCTTGACTCTGTTCCTTTCCAGAGGACCACCACCTCACTTGGAGAACTGTGATTCTGATGCAGATTTTACAGTCAAATATTTAGTTTACTTAAACTTCAGAAATTAACAGTGTTCTCGGGTTTTCTGCTGATAGTAGTAAAAAGCATATTAAGATCATGTCCTAGTTTTAAACAAATACCAATTGAACAGGTTAAAGGAGAAATAGCAGGGAAAAACAAAAGCATGAAAACCAGCTGAAAAAGCACCATTATTTTTCACAGTCCTAATTTTTCCTTTGGTCCTCTTCTCTACCATGTACTACTTTAATTCTTCAGCATCCCTGATGTACAGGGTGGGGAACTGTGAGGTTTAGCAAGTGTGGTTTTAATATCTCTTTGGGGATTCTTTTTATATCTCCTTACATAAGTAATCTTGGCAACAGTAAAAGCATGGCATTTTCTCTTTCCCATTGTCCTTCCCAGTTACAGTGCTGCTACTGCAGGATACACATCAGTGAAGGAGGACATTATAAAGCACTAAAACAGTCCACTGGGACTAGCCAATGCTTATCTGTGAAAGCAGTGCTTACTGGAAAAATTATTTTCTATTTCCTTATGAAGGAAAAAAATTAAAAATACTACAAGACTGCCTGGAGGGATAAGAAAAAGACTGAAAATCTGCTAAGGGGATATTAGCAGAAAGGATCAAAGTGAAAAGATAAATTCAGCCTAACTGGTAGCTTTAAATGAAACAATGGATAGCTGTCAGAGTGACCACATATGTTTTTAAAAAAGAAAAAAACACAACAGGGCAGATAAAGTATCAGGGCCGTAGAGAATGAAATGCCAAAACCATTATGGGGTATTAAAAGACAATGGGGATTTTTAAGTTAAAGCCAAACCAATTCAACAGAAATTGCTTTGAAGAGAATATCACAGTATGTAAAAACAAAATGCAACCTAGAAACTCAGATTTCTTCAATATGCATGCCAGTGTCATGGAAAGCTCAAGAAGGAGATTGTGTGGAATAAAGTCAAATTTGCCACATACTCATCTGTTTGGCCAGTATGTCTTCCCGTACATTTTTTCCTTCTTCATGTGATACTGCTTCCCCATTCCTCTGCCTTCCTGTCCTTTTGTTTGCACTTATTTCACTGATGTCCCTTATCTTGCATATCTTGTAAAATAACTCAGTATGAGCTTAATGTTATGTACTCATTACAGCAGCTATGCCTTTGGACATGGGTTTCAACCACTTGCAGAAAACTCCAGTTTATCTGACAACCAAAGACTGCTACCTACAAATGTGCTACACACCCAGGCACGCTTGTGTGCAGGCTTGTAAGCATGGATGTCACAGCTGCTCAAGGAAGGGCAAGAGTGATGTCATCTAGAGCAGTGCATGCATATCTGTAACTGGAGACATGTGGAGATCTGTCAATTCTAGTCAATCTGGTCCTGTGAGGAGCTTCAAAGCACCCCTTGACAGAAAAATACAGTATAACCAAACAGGCTACTAGTTCAGGAACACATGCAAGCCTTTGCAGGACATCTATAACCAAATAATTGTAAAAGACTCTAAAGAGGGAAGTGCTAAATGTAGAGAATACAAAGAGTGGGAAATAATACATCTGCATCACTCAGTGAAGTAGTTTTATTATCTTGGAACCATGAAGCTATATCCGCTTGTGCACAGGAGCAGCTTTTGAATGTCAGGAAAACCATCCTGCCAGCAATATCTATTAGTTTGTCATCTGGGATACCTAAAAATCTATGGGACGGGGATGAGCAGCTATCCACTGCTAAAAGAAGTCCAGAGGATCCACCTATAAACTGATGCACCTAAGAAGGCTACCATTAATATAACATAACTGGTGCTCCAGTACAGTAGTTTGTCTTAATACAAAGAAAATCAACTTGAGACTTTCTTTTCAGGGGAAAGGGAGTTACTTCCTCATTGCTACTAATAGATGACATTTTAACATCACTGTATTTTTTAAAAAGGGAAGTTCTTCTTTGTTAAAACACTAGTGTGTCCAGCACCCTCTGAATCCTACAGTAAGACTTTCTGTTGCTCTTGTGAAACACCTTCCGTTTGTATTAGGGCGGATAATACGTGCACATGATTCTTACACAGATTGTCACACTGAAAGCGATCACATTGCGCCTTAGAGGGCTAAGATGGAGTTTAAAAACGAGCACTGACTGAATGTTGTTGTCGCTGTTGTGCCTTACCAACAGCGAGTTTTACTTCATTATCAGTCACACAGCTGCAGTTCGGCATGTCTTGCAGCTACGGCAAAGAAGCCCTTTCACAAAGTGCTTGCCCTTCAAGACAGGCTGTTCGAACAAGCAAAGAAAGAGTCAGCATAAAACAATTGGTGGATAGGGAAAAAATGTGTCCCTGAATGGCAGTCAGCTTTCTGGACTATCACCAGTCACACGCATAAACAAGAGATTAGATGTTGTAAGTGCTTAATTCCCAGTTTTGGGGCTCTTAAGGATTTCCTTCAGGATGAATGTGGTTGAATCACTTATTTAAAAAAAATATGTCGAACTGGCAAACATTCCTTCGCTGTCACCGTCTGCTCCAATTATTATTTTTTTTAAATGACAACTCATTTGAGCTAATCAGGATTTAATGGTCTCCAAGATCTGCTGTAAAAGCTATTTGTTTTCCAATACTGAAATGGTTGGCTCGAGAAGACAAATTAGGGTTCAGAGAGGGTATGATTGGATGTAGGAGACTTTTTTCCTCAGAATTTTTTTCTTGTTTATAAGACTACTGTATTTTGTTACAAGAATTCAGTCTAAAACAAATCCTAGAATGCCTGAAGTGTAAAGAGAAAAGTAACTATTACATATAAAAATAACATCTAAAACTTCCATACATTTAAGCTAAGGTATGATGAAAACCGTGAGAACAAACGTATTCTTCCATAAGCTTCCTGTCTGCTTCTCATATCTCATCAAATAGGTGATGATGAGTTAACCTTGTGAAATATTCTGTTTTGAAGCCCATTCTAACTGACAGACTAACTATGCAAATTAAAGGCACAGACATGTACAACTCCAAAGCCTTATGTAGGAGGGTATTTTACATAAAACCAGAAAAAGACCCCTAGGAAAGTCTAGCACAGATTTTTAAATCACTATTGATTTTGCATGGAAGGAGCTCAAAAACATCCAGTGTGATCTTCTGTGCAAAGCTCTTAAGCAGACCAAGTAAAGTACATTATATACCTTGGTAAGGTATATACTATACCTTGGTAAGGCATATACTATACCTTGCTAAGGCATATAATCATAACAAAACAACTCCAAGCATTTTTGAAGTTTTCCCATCACTGCTATATCTGCAATCTGAATCCTCAAATGCAATTATTTGCTGTTGCCTCTTCTAGTCCAGGAAAATTATTGATCATAGAAAAACTCAGTTCGTGCTGTATCAAAGCTGATAGGTTGCTATGAAAGGTATGAGGAGAACTTTTTCTGACACATCTGCCTGATATCCAACTCTGAAAACAACTCACTGAACACCCATAATCAACAAAGTAAGGCAGTTCCTCAAAGAAAAGCACAGCACAGTGCATTTTATGCTTACCAAACTATCCACATCTATGCTTGAGTTTACTGCCCACTGCAAGGTTCCCATGATGTTCATAGCTAAAGTAAGAATAATGCCAAGTTTACCTGGTCCATTACCTGCAGAGAGAAAAACAGATAAATTCATCTGCAAATAAAAAGCCAATAGAAATCAGGAAATTAGCATTTATATCTTAAAACACATACCACATTCTCTTCTATTTCATGGAGAAAACATGGATTTGTTAATTATACAAAGGACTGAGAGCTAATAATCAGTGAAACAGCTGGCTTTGGCACTGAATTCAATAGAAACCCTGATCTTGCTTTGGCAGAAGAAAAAATTAAATCTTGGTACTTAAGCTGCAAACAGAAGCAGGCTTCTGCAATCTTGATTTCAATGTCCTTTTACCAACACACACGAATCTGTGAAATGACTCTTATCTAACTAAAACACCACAGCTAACAACTTCAAAATTGAAAATAGTTGCACTAGTTTACATTTTCATTTCTTGGACAGAGGACATGTTCTCCTTAATGTTCTACAAAGATGCAGATATAAATTCTTTTATTTTAATTGTCTGCTATTAACAAGCATTGGATTTTCCAGGGATTTTCCTTTATGAGTTGATACAATACAATATAAGCATTGAAACTACCCTACTGTTGATTTTTAAGCTCACTATGTGTTAAATGGAATTGAGAATTTAAGCCAAATGCCTTTCTATGATTTCTCCATTTCTTCCATGGCTTTCTGCAACAAACTTCCTCTTGTTTTGGCTTATAGACATATCATGATGAGAGTAATTACAGAAGTGAACAATAAAAGTAAAATATTCCTCCTGAAAGCTGACAGATTAAGAAAAGAAATTTAGTGTTGTTCCAAGGACCTATTACCTGTAACAGAAAAGCTTACAATAGTGGCAAGATGACAATTTTCCACATTTTAAAAAAGTGCTTCTAACCCATTTTCTCATATAAAATATCCAGAAAAACAGCAAGACAAACAGTTTTCCTAAAAAAAATCTAAACTACTGCGTGCAAAAAGTAAAAATTAGAAGTATTTGTGTGGTTGGATTTTTTTTTTCCTAAGAATCAGGAGTGCTCCTTATACAAGAAATAGAGGATAACATTCAGTAAACAATGCAATATTTCATAGAATGTACACTTTTTTATAACTCCTTTTCAACACTGGAGTATGATCAAATGGAATTTGGACATTGTTAGAACTAAAAACTTCCTTCACAAAATCAGCAAATTCCTGTTCATCAGGGACTGTAGTATTGAAATTGCATCCAGATCCTGCACACAAAGTTCAGTGTAAAACTTTGGAGAGGGACAATAATGCGTAAGAATCAAAATAAAAAAACATACATAACAAAAGCATAGTGAATTAAAAACTGTAATTGAAATAATCTGTAGCTAAACCCGCTGAGTTTTTCCACAGAACGAAATTATTCCAAGATTTTGGGAACATTATTGTCCTATTCTCTGCTTGTTGGAGACTGGCTACACCTGGTCAGCCATAAGCAGCATTTCAAATACAACTAGGATAGAAAGGTATAGAGTGATTCTTATTCATGTACTGGGTTTACTAGGAGTGGTGTGCCATTTTTAAGGGAATTTTGAGGGGTATTTGCAAAACTTCACATTGGAAAATGGGTCAGTGAGTTGGGAATTAGAGAACTGGATGACTATTTCTGTTATTGGTGTGGCTTTAAAAGATCATTACAACTTCCCATGTCTTAGCCATTTGCAAATAGAGGAATATAAACTTCTACTGATACCTGAAAAGGAAATTGAACTTTCCAAGACTTGTTTTGAGCAAGAGAACTGAGCCTGCGAAGTAATTTACATGTAAAGCGAGAGAAAATTAACCAATTGTTTAAGAATATGTAAACATGTTATGAATATGCCTGATTGTAGTGCATAACTAATTTTCTGTCCAGAAGCCAGGTGTGCACTCTAGGAGGAGATATCCCCCGTGCACCCAGCACTGCCATAAAGAATACCTGCTTTCTAAAACTCCAAAATGAGTCTTGGAAAGTTCAATTTCCTTTTCAGGTATCACTATTGACTTAAAAACTTTGAGCTATACAGATGATAATCAACATCCAAGCTTTTCAGTATGCTAATGTGGTTATATTAATGTGGTTTAACACACAAGATTACTTTTACAGCAATTACAGTCAAGAAAAGGAAAGTTCTGTCCCTTCAGTTATTATTTTCAGCTTAATCCCTTAATGAGTACTCTACAACATCAGATGGCAGATAATAATGGTGTAATTTCTATTTTAATTAAATTCTGTTTACTATAATGACATACTTAAATCAGTGACTCCAATGTCTGCTAAATTTTCCAATGGTTTATTTGCCTCAGAAGTTTCTAAAGCTGAGCTGTTAAACAGAAGCAGACGACTTCCATTTCAGTAATCCAGTAAAGTTACTGTACCTGTAGTTATGATAGAGATGAACGCCACAGCAACAAAAAAGAGAACAAAAATCATTTCTATCCTCATCTGGAACCAGCGCAGTGTTGACAGGTAGAGGAACCAGTTTGCCGTGTGTAGGTTCAGGGCTTTGTGAAACAAGGTCTCAAAATACGGCTGCCGCCCAAAAGCCCTCAGTGTCCACAGCCCTTTTAAGCTTGTAACAAGATGGGTGAAGATCGGACTCCGAGCTGTCAAAGCGTTTAAATGAGAAACATCATGAACACTCACAAGCAAACATCTTTGATATAACACAAATACACAGCCCTGTGCTCTAACTCACAGCAGTGTAACCATGGTCAGTGTTCCATTTCGATACATTGTTGGAGTACGCCACTGAAATAATCCTAGCACAGGATACACAACAAGAGTCTTTGCATGAATGGTTGAAACTCCACTCCGTGTATTGCCAGGAAGGGATCACGCTAATTCTTCATAGTTAGCATACTGCTTGGGAAAGCTCCTGGCCTGCTGTAAGACACCACAAGAGAAAGGTGGCTCCTCCCCAGCCAAAACGAATTCCTGCAATTCTGGTAACTCCACCAAGTGAAGTTTTTTTAGCACAGACAGCATACTTTAATGCTCTGGATTCAACTGTACTGACATGGTAATTTTAAGCAGATCTTGCATTACATAAAAAGTGGTGAGCCAATGCTGGATCCCTGTGAACATTAAAGAAATTTAGATTTAGATCTGAGGAACTTCAGAATTACACTTAAGTAAAAGGGAAGATGATCATCAGTGTTCGCAATTCAGGACTGATTTGCTGAGGATCTGCCAGTTTGTTTTTAAGCCAGGCCACAGTGCCTGATCTGCAAACCCACACTTCAGAATGAGGTTTTCCATTCTATTGGGAACATGTTAGGCTCTTAATGAAGGGAGAAAAAGGAAATTTAGTCAAATAATTTGTTCAGAAATAAGAATTCTTTGCAATCGAGATATATCCATTGTAATTTTTTCTTATAAAGAAACAAACTCATAGGGCACATATCAAGTCCGACCACAATTCTTCAAGTTATGTTTATTCTCAAGAAAACTGTATGTCAGGACTTTATTTGTTTTCAGCTGCAGTGGTGATAAAACCCAGCTTTAAAAAGATCTTCTCCATTGCTCTTCGGCAGCAGCGCACTCAGTATTGGCTGGATCAGTAACAGCACTGGCTTTAATGAAATATGTGTTCTGCTCCCAGAGACAATGGCATCTTGCAAGAGAAAAGGCAAAGAAGAGGTGAAAGGATGAATCACTTCTCAATTCATTTGTTGTGGATTTAGAAGTCTACCAATTTTGCTGCTCCTACCTTCAGATTCCAGTTGTTTCAGCTGCTGAGAAGTGTGGAGGAAGTATGCCCTTAACACAATAAAGGTTGCTATCACAGGCACTGATGCCAGGAAGATGTAGGGTTCCAATATTGAGACTACTGTTATAGCGCCAATCACAATCAGTATTAACTGCAGAATGAAAGAAAAACACTATTGATACAGTAAACTTGCCATTTTACCGACTAGAGATTGGTGATGAATCTCCTTCCCATGGCAACTATGGATTGTTTCACCAAACATAAAGTGCTAACCTAAATAGGATTTGCAGCTGAGAACAAACCTCCATGAAAGATCATGAATAATCGAGACCAGATCCATAATCTGTTGGAATAAGCTGCCATCTTCTCTAACAGATGGAAGAAGTGTTTTCTGTAGTACAACCAGTATTGCAGGCTTCTAAATGATGAAGCCACACAAAAACAATGGCAGCTAGGCACTCCTTCTCCAGTTAAAATTGTAAGAATGACACTTGCAATACCTGCAGCCACCTCCCACATCTATGGGTACTGTCCGTGTCTTGTCTGGACTAGGTGTGCCAGACTGTCAGGAGCTCAGTGCCAGTCTCCTGCAAGTTCTGGGCTAAGCAGTTTTTCTGAGGATCAGAAAAAGTGGGAAGTCACACATCATCACTTGCTCAAGGGACTGTAACCCACATATGAAACTAGCACTACTACTGCTCCTGATCAGAAGACAGGAAATAAGTCATAAGAAGACTTGTGCTATGAAAAATTAGCAGTTTCAGGAGAATAAAAAGATGTTTTAAGGTGACAGATGACTCAAAAGGAACAAAAACATTCCAAAATTAATCTATTTAATCCACCAGAGACTACTATCATTCTCATAAAACCTGATCCTCAGTAGCTCCAGACATGTAGCTAAATAATTTCTTGATCTTCACTCTAAAAGCACCTTAATCACTTATACTGTTTTTATCTCACACCTAAATCTACTGAAAATCAAGTATATCAGTGTATACAGACTAGCAAAGCTCTGCATTCTATCAGCGTGTTACCTTTCTCACTAAACAAGTACTTCAACTTGCAAACTTATCAGTTTAAAGCAACTGAAAATGGACAGTTTGGAAAAAGGATGAACATTGCATTGAAACATCACTGCAAATGACCAGTCAGCAAAGAAACAGATGAAAACCAAAACTAATTTCACATTAGGAATAAACCTGCAGTTGGTTCTTTTCCTACTACATCCACATAAATTTAAGGAACGACTTCAATTCCCAGTACTCCAAGTCAGATGTCTTTCATGAACAGGTGTGTTTCAGGTTTCTGAGCAATGCCACAGCAGCATCAAAGTTTACGAAAAAAAATTACTGTAACAGCTGAACTAGTTGATTTATTTCATTATTTTCCTCATTTCTCTTAAAAGAATGGTGACACACATGGGTTATGCTTGTGCAGGCTGTACAGCACTGGTCTGTAGCAATGCAAGAGTGGATTTGTGCTTACTCATTATTTCAAACTGCATAATTTAGTACCTCTCATATCTCTAATTGTTAAGAAGCAAATGAGCTGTTCAACTGATATTGAGACAAGTCTCATAGTACTTGAGATTACACAGTCACACAGTGACTGTTTTAATTTCTGTTTTCATCATTTACTCAAATTTTGCAAAGGCCACTGTGATGCTATATTGTTCTCACTGCTGGTCCAATGGTTATTTCACTAAAAAGTTGTATATGAAAATTTATGTTATCTCATAACCTCCAAACACAAAATAAGTGCAAAGTCAAACAGCAGATGATACCTTCTGTAGAAAGGTAGCAAAAATCAACACACACGTCAGCTACACTGGTGTATGGTCAGGGAATGGCAGCAGAGGTCTCACGCAGCCCAGTTAAGAGCCACAGTGCTGCACTGCAGTGGCCCCAGGTGCTGAGCTTTCAGGCCTGGGATAGAGGCCAGATGGGGAGACACATTCCAGTGCTTCCTCTGTGTCACTAGTTTGGAAGATGCAGCTGGTGGTAGAGACATCAATTCAGTAAGGGTTCAGGGTGGTGCTGACTGCAGGAGCCAACCTGGTTAACCAATGGGGGTTTATCATTTAGGGAAAACCAGTCATGACCACAGATATAAATGTCAAATGAGTTCACTATGACCTTTTGAGTGTGACTGTATTAAACCTTAGGGACAAGCAATATATGCTAGCAGTATCTCACATGAAGGATCTCCAAGAAACGATGACCCCACTGTAAGCACTGGTAGAAGACTAAGATGAGTGTTAAAACTAGTGTTAATGCTACTGCAGTCATTATCTGGCTACAGGACAGATGGCTGTCAGAGATATTATCTCTTGTCATTGATGTAAAAGTTGATACAGCTTCTTCTTTTATGGGCAATTGGGTATATCCCAGTGACTGGAGAGTAACCCTGGCCTCTTTCATCCAGAAGTCTCATTTATCCTGGATAAAAAGCCCTGCTCCCTAAAAGAGAAGGCCCCTGATATGTCTAACACCCATAAAAGTTCTAAGAAAAAACTATGCCATGACATCCACAGCTGCAACAGAGAAGGAGGCAGTGTCCCTAAACAAGAAGCTCACCAGAGTCATTTACCAGCTCATTCTCATAGAAGAGGGAGTAAGAACCAGTTGTAAAATTTTGTGTCAAATTCTTGGGAAAAGCTCAGAAGTCAGAAGGATGAACTTATGAAAACATAAATTGAAGGCTAGCAGAGACTATGTCTCCATCTCCACCAGACTCAGATTTAGGCATCTGACTACATTTAGAGGCTAACCTTTTCTGTAGATCTCTGCACATGGGAAGGAATAACCACTTGCACCAGTACAGGCTGGAGGCTGATCGACTGGAAAGCAGCTTTGCAGAGAAGGCCTTGGGGGTCCTAGTGGACTCTAAGACAGCAACACCCTCCTACAGCAAGGGAGGCTGACAGCAGCAGCATTGTCAGAAGATCAAGAAAGGTGATCCTTCCCCTCTTTTCAACACCAGTGAGACTGTATCTGGAGTAGGCTCTCCAGTACAAGAGAGATACAGACATACTGGAGTGAGTCCAGTGAAAGATCTTGAAGCTCATAGAATCATAGAATGGTTAGGGTTGGAAGGGACCTTAAAGATCATCTAGTTCCACCCCGCCTGCCACGGGCAGAGAAATAAAGGGACTGGAGCATCTCACATACAAGGACAGGCTGATAGAGCTGGGAGTGCTTAGCCTTAAGAAAAGGCTTAGGGGGATCTTATAACTTTGCATAAGTTATAGTATAGTATTTATTATATTTATGTAAATTATATATTTATGCATATATGCAAATAATTTTATAAATTATGTATATTTAAAAATTATATTATATTTGTATAAATACCACTAGGTATTTGGGGCAGGGCAAATAAGCCTGAGTCAGATTCTTCTCAATGGCACCCAGTGGGAAGATAGGAGGCAATGGGCACAAGCTGAAATGCACAAAATTTCATTTAAACATAAGAAAAAGCATTTTTATTGTAAGGATGGTCAAACAATGGAATAGACTGCTCAGAGAACTTGTGGAGTCTCCACCCTTGGAGATATCCAGAATCCAACATGGCCCCAAGAAACCTGCTCCAGCTGAACCTGCTTTGAGCAGGGTGGTAGAAGAGGTCCCAGTTCCTAGGCCCAAGGGTCTCTTCCATGTTCTGTGACTCTGTGACAATCAGCACAGACGGAGAAAGTCACATGTGTAACTTTTCTGTATCTTTCAGAAGAATCTAACTTTGTTCATTAGCAGAGTCCATGGAAGTCTGCAGTTGCCAAACAAGTCTGAATCTACAGAGGATCAGAAGGAATTTTTTATGAGAGGATGACTGGTAAAAAGCATTCAAGACACTGGGTAGGTTCAATGATCTTCATCAGAAGAACCTGGAAAGACAGGGCAGCTTATCATGCATGTTTAGGAGCCTCTGCAGTTGAGACTGAGGAGACAGAGGTGAACCTATGGGACATTAGAGCATAGGCTAGACTCTGAAAGGCACCGGAATAGAAAAGCCAAATCTAGGGATTTTCTTTATCCTTGAAAACATGAAAAACTAGTCAGTTTCTTGTAGAGAGTTTAAAATGTAGATACAGACTAACGAAAATAATTTTGGAATAATATCCTCAATCACAGAACGTTAGGGATTGGCAGATCTGAAAAATCAGGAACAAAATGGCCACACCAGAAAAGACTGTAGCAAATCCTGATAACACTGAAGATGAAATTAACGATTCAGAGAAGGTCTCGATGTACATGTTTACTCATTCAGCAAATCTTCTTGACATCAGCAGGACATGAAGCAGAGCTGTAATGTCCTTGAACCCCTTCAAGTGGAGCTGCCCTGGCCTTTCTAAAGTCATGAGCCAAAGTTATCAATTACTAACAAAGATATCACAGAATCACAGAATGTTAGGGATTGGAAGGGACCTCAAAGGATCATCTAGTCCAATCCCCCTGCCAGAGCAGGACCACCTAGATCAGATCACACAAGAACACGTCCAGGCGGGTTTTGAACATCTCCAGAGAAGGAGACTCCACAGCCTCTCTGGGCAGCCTGTTCCAGTGTTCTGTTACCCTTACTGTGAAGAAGTTCTTCCTCATATTTAAGTGGAACCTCCTATGTTCTGGCTTATATCCATTTCTCCAATATATAGGGAAAAGGATTCGGTTTTGATTAGATCATCATATAGGTAGGAACTGTAAAGCAGAGCAAACTCACAGATGCAGACAGGCAATCTGTGCAGCAGAGTTTGGTTAATTCGGGCCTGCTTTTCTTCTAAATAAAGGTAGAGAGGTACAGGAGAGCCAGGGAACATTTGCTTTTATTTTTCAAAGGTTCTAGGAACTAGCTGTATCTGAGGAAAAGCTGGAATTGCAGCATTAGTAGTGGGGCAGTAATGAGGGGTGCTGAGATCCACACAGAGCCAGAATGTCTCAGAATAAGACAGAATGGGGAGCAAACAAACCTTGAGAAACTCTAGAATTGCCTCTATCTCTGCATTTCTTCAATGTTCTCTTCAGTGTGGATGAACTGGAAGGTCATTCAAAACTCAAGATTTTGCAATGCATGGCGTTTCCCAGAAGGTATGCTGGAAACAAGCCTTTCTATCCAAAAAATAAAAAGTTTGCAATTCTACAGCTCTTAGGGATGTAAAATGACTCCAAGAAGTAGAGTCATCTAAAGCTCTTCTCCATCACAAACAGTTATCAGGTATCTGACAGACTCTGCTTAAATCCCAGAGACTCAGGGAAAGTCATGAAGATGAGAAAGATAAAAGATAAAATTAGGCAGTCAAACTTGTGAAGGGGGGGAAAAAAAAGGAAAAAAAAGAAAGAGAGCAGAACTCCCCAACTGAGAGTTGAAAGCACATCATCATGGGTCAAACTGCCCAATAAGGCAGGCCTGTAAGAGCTTCCACAGAAGAAAAAAGAACAGAAAAACCAAGAATATATTCAAGAAAAGAGAAGAAGTAACTCAAGCTTTATGCTAGCAAACTGGCAACAGAAGACGCTAAGGTTGTAAAGTCATGAAAATGACTGAATGTAATGAAAGGATAGCATGAAAAAAATGTCAATTTTGAGCCAAGATAACTGAAAGAAACTAAGAAATGCCCTTCATACTTTTTAAGTTGAATGTGAGCAGCAGCAAGGATACCTGTACTGTAGAGGTCTGCAGGGAAAAAATGTTTCTGAGCCTGAGTACTAAAAGTGATTTGCACACAAACAGTTAAGGCACACATATAGGCAAGTACTCAAAAAAGAAGCAATGAGTTGACTTACAAGATAAGTAGCTATGTAAATATATATACAGACTGAAAAAAAAGGAAGAGGGATTTAATTCCAGTTGTTATTTCTTCTTCTTAATATGATTTCTTTCACATGATATACGACCAAAACTTTACAGTGCTATAAGACAGCAAAATTTAGAACTTCTATTCTTCAAACCTGAACGAAGTCAAATACTGTAAGTGGAAGCAAGTCATCCAGTACTGCCGTATCTTTTGAGAATCTGTTAAGTATACCACCTATGAATTAAGAAAAAAAAAAACAAGAAGAAAGAGTCAAACATTTTAATACTCCCAAAATCCTACATTTATTACTTTAACAAAAAGTACAACTTTTTCTGAATACAAAATATTAAGGATAAATACAAGATTTTTTTTTCGAGTACAAGCAATTCTATTACAGTTTAGTGAAACTACATCTTCTTTCCCCACGGAGGAATTTGGCTCCACAACTTCTGTTTCAGTTCTTGGAATCTTGGAAAAAAACCAGGAAAACGTACCAGTGTCTCCTTTAATCTAGTATACACCGGTAAGAAGGGTATGAGATAAGAATTTCATGTACAGTGGGAGTCGGAAATTGTCGCACGAGTTATATAATGAACTCTGTATCAACTCCAGAGTCAAATTTGAATATGCATACCATTATTCACACTAACTGATGTTTTATGCCATTTTAGTAGGACTATTCATGAAATAAAGCACTATTTATCATCCACACCTGACTCCTTGTCACTCACCACACAGCTGACTATATCTTTTCTATTGCAGTTTTAGATGAAGTCTATTCATTAGAAGTTATTCTAGTTTTATTGCCTCAAACAGTTAAGAATTTTCTCCAGCTTATAAGGTGATACTTCAGAATCAGAATTGACAACTGAAATATGTCACACTCAAAGTGCAATCAAGGCTCATTAAAAGATTCACAAATTACTTTAGGTGGCAAACTTTTAACATGCAGCTTGACTAAAAATGTATATGGAAAGCAACAGTATCCTTTAACAGACTGAAAACTGTTTAACTGAAATGAAACCCACACATGAATCAGTCAGTCCCCATCTCAGTTACCTGCTTTCCAAGAGTTGAATGTTGACATAGGTGCATGAAGAACAGCATGTACCATCTTTTGATGAAGAGTTTTAGACACTGTTATAAGCGTATGCACGAGGGGCAAACCTCTGAAGAATCCCATGGCAAGTAGGGTATCTGCCACTCCCACGTAGATATAAATGATGTAGTAGCTGCTAGTGTCAGTGACAATCACAGCAGGTCTGTCAAAGGTACTGTTATCTGATTGTGTTTCATTTGCATTCAAAGCTGTTCTGTGTGATGGAAATCAAAAATAAATGCATTGCTGGAAAATGCAGGTTTTTTTCCTCTTTTGTTTTCTCTACCAAACAAATAGCACTGTTCATTTGTTTTAAAATTGTATTAATGGTTAGTTATATATATTTCCAGTCATTTTTAAAATATTGTCCTGTATTATATGAAATATAAATTATGAACTAACCCAGCTTCCACCAAGGCAAAGTTGCTCTGTGTGTGTGTGCGTGTGTGCGTGTGTTCAGGGATCAAGGCAAGAAATGGCTTATTCACCTCCTCAGATACCTTTGGTGATTCAGGTGCCTCCCAGCACTTGTAGTGTTTCTGAAATTGGTTGCAATTGTGCAATGAAGGATTTTTACCGAGAAGGAAATTATGCCATTGGTGTATAACTAAGACCCCTCCAACAGTGTTCTCCAAACTACTGTGAAAACGTACTGCTTTGGTAGTCTTTTGCAAATCTACTGCCTGTTTAATCAACGACAATCAATGATCATCTCTCCTATGAAGACAGGCTGAGAGAGTTGGAGTTGCTCAGTTTGGAGAAGAGAAGGTTCTGGGGTGATCTTCTAGCAGTCTTCCAGTACCTGAAGGGGGCCTACAAGAAAGCTGGAGAGGGACTTTTCACAAGGGTATGTGGTGATAAGACAAGGGGCAATGGCTTTTAACTGAAAGAGAGAAGATTTAGATTGGATATAAGTGAGAGTGGTGAGGCACTGGAACAGGTTGCCCAGTGAAGCTGTGGACGGCCCATCCCTGGAAGTGTTCAAGGCCAAGTTGGATGAGGCTTTGAGCAACCTGGTGTAGCGGAAGGTGTCCCTGCCAATGGCAGGGGGTTTGGAACTAGATGATCTTTGAGGTCCCTTCCAAACCTAATCATTCTGATTCTATGACACTATGACAAAACTAGTCTAATCAAGGAAAACGCACCTGCTTCTTTTAACCAGAAAAAATAATTTAGGTGTTGAAAAAACTGAAACATTATGGAAGTAAAATGCTTCAAGTGTACTATAAAAATCAAAAGCCTTAATGACTTATTGTAAGGGGACATCAACATAAATCTCTCATCCTACAGATCAGACCTAAGTCACTATATGCTTTCTATACTCAAACATACAGACTTAGCACTGCAGGACAAAAACAGGGATCAAAAGCACGAACCCAGGAAAAGCCAGACCGCTGCTCAGTATGCTCTTCATCTGCCTGACCCTGCAACTTCTGGGAATTTTTCAAAGGTGAGCAGAGGAAATTGTACAAATGGGGTCTTAGAGAAACTGCTCCCTTAAAACGCCCCTAAGCAAATGTCTCACCTGGCATCTCTGTAAGACAGTGGTGAATCACAATGTATTCAGGATAATCAAGTCCATGCATCTCTAGAATGAGCTGACCCAGGAAAAGTCTTGCGTGCATTGTTATGAGCTCAATAACAAGGCACAAACCATTTGACTGTTGGCACTTAAAGAAGTAACAGCTTAAGATACTACCTACATTAGGTATTTAGATCATGCACCTATGAACCACTTTATTGAATATACGCTAGTGCCTATCCATACAGACTTCTGGTAGAATTTATTAATAACTTCTAGTAAAAATCAATATAAAGCAGACTCCAATCTGTCAATAAATGATCACCACTACTTACTCTGTAAGAAGCATTAACCCAGCAACAGAAGCAGCTACCTGTGGCCAAAGAAAATAGAGTCAATTTTTTGCCTTGTCACATTATGTACTTTTTCTTACTTATCTTCTTTCACTGACTTTATAACTGTTTGTAAGAGAGAGCATTATAAATGGATGGAAGGCAAACTTCCTTGAAGCAAAAACCTTGTCATATCTGCTCCTCTCTCCACAGAAACCATTTAGTGCATCCCACCAGTAAAGCTACATTTAGACTTGTATTACAATCAGGCTCTCAAGTGCCTAAATATTCTTTTATTGTTTTTTACCGTCCCGTTAACAAAGGCTTGTTAATGCATTCCTACTGACAAGGAACATTCACTGTATGCTTTAACATATTTTAAGGATTAATATTTCTTGATGGCCCCAAAAGACTAAATCTCTCAATATCTTCAAAGACAGCTATTCAAATACGAATGTCAAACCTTTAACATTGTTATTTTTGTATTGTTGTTCTTGCTAGCTGATACCTACATTTGATGTATCTATTTGTTTGATATTTCTTGGCTGCTAGCTTTACATAATTCTCCAAATCATCTATTTTAATATTTTTAAAATGTGAAATTAAACATATTTTTATTGTGAGTGCTCAACAGAAGGTTCCTCTATAACACATTTTCTTGTCTGTTCACTGAGACACTGGAGATCTTCATTTAGTCCATCACATCTCAAGCTGCCCTATTTCTGCCTACGATCTTCTTTCTAAAGGTCTAAACATAGTTTCTAGCATGCTCTTCTCATATATTTTTATGGCACTGGTACAGGAATGTATTATGATAATGCCTCAGCATATAATTCAAGTCTTCTCCTTGGGAATCACTAACTTTTGCAGGTCTTACAATAAATAACTCAAGCTTGACCATGATGCTCTGAATTTACACATTTGCAACGATCAGGCTTCTTTCACAATAATATTTTTACATCTCCCAGAAGAATTCTGTTCTGATCTTGACTCCTCACAACAGAGGACCATTTATTTCAGTCGTGAAGATGAAGGTAGACAATACTGGGACAGAATAACTTCACAAAGCCTTTCTACACGTTTCCATTCATAACTGCTCTTTTTCCCCTTCAGCAACCCTAGACTCTGGGTACTACATCTAGGAAACACAGTTTTGAGCCACTTAAGTGAGCTACATGCACACCACACCCCCCCTCAAGTCGAAGAATGTACAAACATGCCCTATTTATGGTGATCTGCATGGACTCGTCTTGGGATCTACAATACAAAACAATCCATTCTAAAACTAAAATAGCATCTCTAGCATTTCCACAATAGTCTCATTTAGCTCTGAAGGGTGTCAAAGCTCCACTTTCATTTTACTTGTCACTCCTCTCTCGATTCAGCACTTGGATGTTCATCACCAGCCTCTCTTCACTGTCCATGGTCAGAAGGATACAAACTGTTAGCACAGGCCACTTACCCACTTGGCATGGTATTTCACCTCACGCACCCAGATTTGCTAAATGCTACATAGTGTGTGCTATGACTGAGTATCTTCCAGCCCATTAATTTATCAATAGGCTTTTACTGAAGCAGTAGTCACACCAGAAAGTTTAACTTAGATGGATACATTCTTTGTCATAAGATTTGTTCTTCACTTAGAAGATGAGGCTTTTGAATTATTTAGTTTTAGTCTAATTTAAAAGCAAAAATTTGTAATCAAGATTAGAAATGTATGCTGAATATAGGGGGGATAAATCTGATATACCTTGAAGTTAAAATTTCCTTTTCCCCTACAACTCACATTCAGCTTTGCTGTTGTAGGTTTACATAGCCATTTTTCCCTACCACGAAAATAAATCTTACATGATAAGAATAGGTGCACATCTAAACACTGTCTGCTTCTGGAAGTGGTTTAAAAATTTGGGATCTCCAACTAGATCTAAGCTCCAGACTTTATTCCTGGTCTAAAAGAACTGATTTAAATCACCTGAAACGTAACAGTGTACCATCGATCGTATCCTTCTCCAGGTTTGATGATACTAGAAGTTTGAATGCCACCACAGAACTCCTAAAAAACTTTCACTGATACAATTAGCCAGAAACTAGTCCTATATTCCTAATGGATTCTTCTCTTCTTTCAGTTCATGTTGAAAAATGCCAAGAGAAATTAGTACCATATCTTTTAAGTTGACATAAGAAAACAGTCCTATTAATCTCCCAGTTTTCTCTCTAAAACATGTTCCTTCTCTCAGAAAAACACTTGATTTAGGATATTAATTGTAAAAGCGGATAGTATGAGATTCTGCGTATATGCTAAAAGTCTTTCTAAACTGGAAAACAGGACAAAAAGCAGGCAGTTTCTGTCATAAGAAAAACAGTCAGACTTGCATGATCAGGCAGATGTTTTTCAGCTCTTTTTCTGACAGCATTTTCTACTGTACTTGGAAAAAGTCTCCTTTTTTTTTTTCATTCTATCCATCTTTAAACGCTGTCACAAGCATTCAGCTCTCTGCCTTACCCACCACTATTCCTTCAGTAGGAGCAAAGTTACTAACTCATTTTTGAAAGCAATTCTCTAGAATTTATGTATGTGCTTATGAAAAAAATTCTAGTAATTATTGTTGCTAGCACCCCAAACTCTGCGAAGATATCTTTTAATGGAAAGTGGCAGATTATTCACCTGTGAACAAGAGACGTGCACAGGGCAACAATTCTTATTTATGGTACCACGCAGCAGAAAATAACCAAGACAATTTGAGAAAATGGGTCTGCTGCTGCCATACACTAATCACTATCTTTGGTAAGAAATGCTCATCTAAACAGTAGAAAAGTAATTGCAATATCATTTAGCAGCAGCTGCCAATAAGCAACACATACATGAGCTAATGTCTTGATGTTTTATCCATTTATCCTTTCATCACAAACAACGCAGTCTGAGCAAACACCATTTGTAGTAACATGACATCAAGTGCAGGTTTTCTTACCTCAAGTAAGAAGACAGTCACACACAAAATTAGAACAAAAATCAAGTTTTTGTGGATGGTAACATATCTGAAATAGGTATTCCATGTGGCAACAGTACCCATGCCTTCAGCATCATCAGTAAAGCACTCCTGTCAAAGAATTGGTAAGACCATAGTCAGAATGATAACAATATCTATATATGAGAATTTCTGACACATGAATGCTGTCATTCTTCCTGCTAACTTACACCAAATAATTGAACTGCAGCATTCAAACTGGCTGATAACAGCTGGAGAGGAAGGTACTGACTGTTTGAGTCATCTTTGATGTAACACCATAGCTGAGAGATGATTTGAAATTTTCAGACAACACTGAAAGAAACAACCAAGAGTTGTCCAGCTCTACTAGAAGCCCAGAAATGGTTAATCAATAGCTATTTTCTTTCAGTGGAGATTATTATTGTTCTGTTAGAGTAAATCTGTAAATGCTCTGAGAATTGGTCATTTTTTGCTGAGAGCAACAGAGCAAAAGAAAAAATGGGCAGTGCTTCACCAAATTATAAGTTTAAATATTTATTGCAGACTTTTTTCTACCTAGGAAACAACTTTATCAAATTTTCCTATTCTGTGAAAATCAGCTGTCAGTTTTGAAAAGGAAAGTAGTTCATTGAGACCAGTTGACAGTTATTAGAAAAAAGAATTTTGGTCTAGTTCTTGGCGTAAACCTCAACCTTAATCCCATAATTTTCAGCACATCCATAAAAACAGAGTACAATCCAGCTTATTCCTCTGTTCATTACCTGTATCAGAACATGAGAGCTAAGCAGTCTGACAAATTTGTCAAATTTGATCAAATTCCAATTTTAAAAACTGTGCTAGTACTTCAAATGTATTTCATTTTTTCCATGAGCCTTAACGTTTCAAATGTCAATTTTACATGAATGTTTTAAAACAATGTTTTTCCATTTTATGGTTTCCAATTTCATTTTGTCCTAAATAATCTTAGGAGTAGATTAAAATGCAGGACATTAGAATTCTCTATTGAAATCCTCTACAGATCACATTCAAAAACTACAAAAAATCAGACAAAATAATTTTTTTTATTATTTCAATGATTACAAGATGATATTTAAGTTAAAAATATTTCACAGATATTCCAAAAAGATATTACACAGAGAAGTACTGCATTAGGAATGACATAGTCAGGTAGAAGAATACATAAGCAGTATATTGCACTAAACTATCACCACTTCAAAAACCAAGATGAATGTAATTCAACACATACCTTCAAATCCTCTTCATTGATTTCATCAGTTATGTCCAAGACACTGTCTCGCGACAAGCGCCTGGTGTAGATATCTATCTCAGAAGACAGGTTTGTCTGAGGCACCATAGACATTTTCCGAAATGTTGTACTTCCCTTTTTGGAAAAATTTGGTCCATAGTTCACAGAGGTGCTCGTCATCAGGTTTAAAACAGATTGCCGCCTCCTCTGACCTTGCAGCATATGGTCAGTGTTTATCATGTTACCTCGAAGCAGACCGACATCTCCCTGTTCCATGTCAGGTATCAGCGACAGCCTCCTTTCTGGCAGGTCATTGTGGCTATCTTCTATCCCATTGACCAGCATTCCGTTCTTCTGCACTACTGAGAACTTCCTACCTGCATTAAGGGGGTTAATAATTATGGAGTTCTTCCTTTTGTCATTAAAATCTGACGTTTGTTTAAAAGATTGCTTCTTTACTTCATTTTGTGATCCCATGCCTTCTCCTTCAATCGAAAATCGTCGGAGAGTCTCAGTTAGAATTGAATCTCTTCTCTCTGCACTGAACTGATCAAAAGAATCAAATCCCATCAGCTCTGAGCTGAAGTCTGGCCGTTGACCCTGAAGTTCAGAAAATGTTCCATAGAAATAGCAGCTCCCCTCATGTAAAATTAATATTTTGTCAGCAATCTTTAAATGTTCCAGTTTTGAAGTAACCAAGATCCTAGTTTTATTCGCCATCAACTTGCATACACAGCTATAAAAGAGAAAAGGGTTAAAAAATAGATATTTTTTTCATCATGATTAAGTGTTGCTTTTATCCCTTTCACTTTCAATTTATTTGCTTTTACCTGCCCCACTCCCAGTATGAGCAGTCTTGGGTGCTCCCTTAAACTACAAAGGAGGTGTTAAGGCTGAGATGTGCAAAGGGTGAGTACTTTATCGCAGGAACCAAAAAAAGGGGGAAAATTTAATTACCTTCGGGTCAATCCAAAAAACACAGTTCAACATAAAAATGAAATATTTCTTTTCATCTTAGGGTTACTTAGATCTTTTGCTACCAAACTTAAAAGTATTAGCACAATTTCAAAACTTCAAACTTATGGCGACTGAAAAGCTCATGGATGGCAGTGTGTGTGTCCTTACTGTTTTGAGCTACACCACCAGGACAAGCCAGAAGTCTCTGTCTTTAGCCAGCCTGCTGCGGATTTCTTGATCAGTGGGCACTTTCAGGTGACCAGTCTTTCAGTGATTAGAAAAACAACACAAAATATATCTTTTGTAAAACTTTATACTTACAAAGCAGGTAAATGTTTTAAAATGAAAGCCCTTCAGGTACACAGACATGTCAGATATAATGCCATGCACTCTGGGAGTAATAGATTATAGTAGGCTCAGTACATTGAGATGGGAGAGGGAGCAGTAATGCTCACACCTGTCCCAGGATTCTTCTCAACACAGTATGCTGTCCTACTGCTAACACAAAATACACACGAGAATCCTTAAAAATAAATATCCAAAAAAAAGGTATAATTTTGATCGCTTCAGTATTTTTCTATCGTTATTAAATTTCTGTTGTTCATTTTATCTTGTGCTGCTTGGTGGAATTCTTAAATACAATCTATCAAAACATACGGTACCTTTCAAATATCTCTTTTTCTGTAAAAATGTCTAAATGTCCAAAGGGAGAATCCAGGAGATACAAATCAGCATCTTTGTACACTGCTCTGAACAGAGAAAACGGAAATGACATTAACTTTCACAAGTCTTACCAATTTACACAGATATAATGTTAAAAGAATGCCTTTATAGCTTTGTCTCAAACACTTGTAATTGATAGACTTTTCTACGGCATCAATGTGGAGCTGGAGCTCAACGTTAATTGCACTTATAAGACACCCTTCAATAAAGCCTTTCCTTGCTGCAGACCAGATTACAAATTAACAATTCTTCAGTGATTTTTGTGTCATCAAAGGAAGCTATACAGCTGCCTTTTACACAGGTTACTCTAAAGATCTGCTAATGGTCTGAATCTGACAGTCCTCACTGGTGTACGATGATCATTTAAATGGGAATTTAGTACCTACTGTAACATCTACTGGTGCCTGAGGGAACATTACACGTATGTAAATAAGCATGTGAAAAGACTTAAGTCTCAGCACTTAATTTTAAACGTACTTCAAAATAACTGGTGAGCAAAGACAAGTGTATTAGTGAGTCACAATCTTGCAAACATTATCTGAAATGAGACTGAATTTCAAGTTCAGGACACGAAAAACTATTTGTAGCATTAGGACCTTAAGCTCTATGTGCCTGGACATGGCTTACTGAGACCTAAAATTATGGTTAAGAGGGTTTTTTTAAATCATTTTCAATAGAAGTTCAAAAAGGTCCCTTGCCTTCCTCTGTGAGTATGAAAATCATGACGTGATATGAATCAGGGTATAATCAGTAAAGAAAATTTGGACAGCTGTATTTCGGTACTTTTTAAAGTACTCTAAAAATCAGTTTTAAAAATCATTATGTTAAACAATGTGAAAATATTTAACCACTACGAAAAAATGCCCCCAATAATAGTGTAATTACGTTAATAAACCAAGCAACTTTATCAAAAAATCCTGTCACAATGGATTTCACCAACCATACATTACGATGGAGTGGCTGCACAACAACAAAAAGTTCATACTGTTCTTAGTGCTTTCATCAGCAAAAAGTTTGCAGGTTTCTTCCAGGAAAATGATCGCGCTCAAAATTACTGCTCTAATTTGTATGTTGGACTTAGTAGCTATACACGACTGGCTTTAGGGTACTGGGCCAGTGAACTAGCTCAAACCCAGCGAATGCACTGTTTTTTTTTTCCCTTGGTCTTTTCTTTCCCCTGGTTATGCTGCAGGCACTGACAGGGCTCTGTAGGAAAGATGGCTCAGGCAATCTTCATCTGCTTCTCATGACAGCTGGCTGATGGCACTTGCAGCAGGGATTCTCATTTCACATGAGTTTGCACAGAGTACAGCAGACACACGTATGCAGCCAGTTCAAGCAAATAACATTCAGCTTACAGCCAGTGCAGATGGTTACAACCTGGGGCTGTAATCCTAAATTTTCTCCTCTAGCTTTCTCAGACCTTCATCTGCAACCCACACCTCAACACCTGCACATCTTGCTGTATGCTGAGCTTAGACCGGAGCCTAAACAAAATATATAGCAGATACAGTCACTGTCTTTGGGACATTTAATTGTTTTAAAACAATAATTACATAGCTGACTAAATATATCATATCAGTTCTGTGACTCTCCAGTAAATGAGCTGTGACAATCTGAGAAGTGACAGACATGATTATTCATAGAATCTGGGAAATATTTCACACAAATATTGCATTTTAAATGAAAATCTAGGTCGGTTTTGTTGGTTGGGGTGTTGGAGCTCCTCCTGCTCCTCCTCTCCTCTTCTATCTTACCGCATAAAACTGAACCATCTATATGTCTCTTCCTTCTCACAAATCTGCTAGAAAGATCCACACTGAAAGCCTCTCTATTTCAAGGAGCCCATCTTTTAGCCTCACACAGACATGCACATCCTTCATGGGAGGCCAGTGTGGATGACCATAATGTGATTTTACTCCTACCCAGTGTTTCTGAGCATGGGAACTGGCACAATTTGCACTTGGCGCAGAAATAAATGGGGCCATTTACACATCAGAGGTATCATTACTGGATTTCTGATGACAGTTAAGGGATTCCACTGAAACACATAGCTAATTTATAAGACAAACACCTATGTTATTGTTCTGTAGACCTTCAAAATTATTTACTAACGTTGGAAGATCAAACAGAGACGGTCAGACCATTATTCACAAGTACTGACTAGCCATTGCTTTCTACTTTTTCTTTTCACAACAGAAAAAGACCAAAACTATTAGCAACATGTTTTGAAACACGGCATCTTTTCGTTTTTGTTACCTGCAGACAGGGAGTATGTCATTAATCAATATATAAACTGCCTTGTAGAAGTGTCATAGCAGGGAAAGATCCTGGAATATTTCTTATTTGTACCTTTGTAAGGGTTTCTTCAGTACTGAGAAAGCTATACTTAAAGGTCTGAATCTCCAAACAGCATCTTGCATCAGGGAAGGAAAGATTCATATTCAGCTAAGCCATGGCATATGTCTGATATCAAACTTTTATAATTCAATAAATAAACATGAAGGTGTATCACAAACAAAATTGAACAGCACGACTCAGGTTCATGATAGTAAAATGAAGTTCCTGATATATCTGGCAGATATTTAGTTAGCAGAACTTGGCCCACGTGTATTTTAAGTGCTTAGTCATAATACTTTCCTTATACGTGAAACAGTACACTACTCAGAGAGCAAAATACTCACCTTGCTAGTGAGATTCGCGCTCGCTGGCCTCCACTCAGAATGATTCCACCTTCGCCCAGCACTGTATAGTCTTTGTCTGGGAACTTGGAAATGTCCTGTTAATAATTTTTTTTTTAAGAATCAGACATGTATTTTCCTTATCCAAGAAACTCAAGCTACAGACTGAACGGAAGGATAGTGTAGAACAGTATACAGACAGGTTGAACAGAACTTGCAAAAAAAAACCAAAAAAAAGTCTCAGAGAGGTTTATTTCTTTTGGAAGGATAGTGTAGAACAGTGTACAGACAGGTTGGACAGAACTTGCAAAAAAAAAAAACAAAAAAAAGTCTCAGAGAGGTTTATTTCTTTCATTTGTTTATGTAATCACAAATGGTGATAGAAGAAAACATACCACTCTATCGCAGAGAGCAACCACAAGCTGCAAGGTCTCAACAACAAATACTTGTCTTAATTATTAGATGTCTATAAAAGCAAGGAATTTATCTTCATACAATATCAATCCAAGACACTAACCATTTGACTTTTCTGTCAAGTAACAATGATAAATGCACTTGCCACTGAAGTTAGGGAGAGCAAGAAGCCCAGAGAAATTTATACTTCAGGCAGGTTCATTAAAAAAGGCTTGCACAAAATTCCTAGCCAGGAATGCTCAAGGTTTGCAAAAGGTTTAGGAGCCAAGTTCCACTGCTTGGGCTGTAAGTTACTTATGACTCATGACTATGCTAAAAACGAATCTTTAGCCAGTGATAAAACCAGAAAATACCATTTCACTTTCATGTGAAACAGAGAAGAAAAGGATATCCTCATGCCCCACTGATAGAGGTGGCCAGAAATTTTTTTGAGAGGACTACTTGGCACAGAAACTGAGGATCCATACAAACCACAATAATTTATGGAAGTGGAGACATGGAGAATAATAGCTTGTGTGCCTGAAGGTGGTCTAGTTTTTCTACTTTTACAGTTGCTCTAACAAAAGTTACTACTTCTGCCTTCAAGCCTTACCTGGGCTACATCCTTAAGCCAATACAGTGACAACACTATCACTGTGGTGGTGGTAGTTTCAGGGGACTTTTCCCAGAAACACGGGCTGGATGACCTCCCTGTGCCCCAGGGCACCTAGGTTTCCAGTGGGTACGACTCCAGGGCAGATTGCTATCCGCTGAGCTGGAAGCCCCAAGTGTCCCAGAAGCTCCCAGTGCCTTCGCTCCCTGCTCAGCAGCACCAGGTTGCTGCTCTTGCTGCCTGTGCATGCCCTCCAGCTTCCAAGGCAAGGATTCCCGGAAGCCAAGGAAGCTGACCCGAGGCATCTGATACAGACAAAATAGGCTCCAGTGTTCTCATGCTTTACAAAGACTTTCCTTTCAGTGCAACTTCTAGGGAAAAAAGGTGGCAAGCAAAATCCCTCATAAAGTGAGCTTCTGGGAACAGGCTTTAGGCAGTGCTCTGGAAGAGGCAGCCTGTTTTGGGGGTCTCTTTTCCCCCAGGCAGCTGAGGGGCACGCAGGAACTCAGCTGTCTGCACGCGGTCTGCAGCACCCACAGAAATCCTGTAGTTTCTGGGAAAAAGACTGGAAGACATGTGAAGCACTTCAGGGCAATGCAACCTGGGATTCTAAGTTGAGCTGCTCTCTAGAAGTTCGTGTTTCATACAAAGTCAGATATAATCCGGTTTTGATCACCCCTGCTGTGATTTTGATGGCTAATTACACTCTGTTGGGCAGCCTTTTGGCATTACAAGTCTCAGAGGTTTTGCAGAATAAATAAATAAATAAAAATTCTTCCAGAGAAATGTTTCCTTCTTCCTCCCCTGTAAATTGCCCTGACCTCAGGAACAGAGTGAACAATGCTCTTCAGCCCTGGATCAGTGACAGATGAAAGGTCCAGCCACTCAAGGACTGGAAATTGACTGCCCAGTCTGTCAGGAAATGGGAGATTCTCCCAACTCTTTAATTTGATAATAGCGTTTACTTCCTGATTTAGAGGATTCTGACCTTAAAATCAAGATGCTCTTATGGATGGAAAACCTATTTCAGGTGATTTTTAAATTATTCTCATGTTAACTAGCTATTTCCCTCTTGTAAAGGGAGAGTCACACAAGCAAATGCCTGGTACTAACATAGCAGCTCAGGTATTTGCAGAAAGAGGGATGTGAAAAACAGTGCCAGCAACATTTTTAAAGTTGGTTTTGCCATAAAACAAAGTAAGGTCAAGGGACCTATATGGGAGATGCCTCGTGAGCAAGGGATCCACTGGTGCAAGGGAAAAGGGTGTAAGGACTCCTCCTCCTTTAATAAAAGGAATGGCAGGAGCGGCGGTAACAACATGGGATGAACTGACCTGCACTCCCCCATTCCTCGAAGTGGGGGGAAGGTGTTGCTTTTAACATCTGGCTTTTCTTTTTATCCTCTCAAGTAACTGTTAATAAATTGAATTGTTTTGTTCCCAAGCCAAGTCTGTTTTGCCCGGGACCACGGTTGGTGGGTGCTCCTTCTCTGTTCTTGTCTCAACCCTCAGTCCTTTTATTATATTTTTCTCCTCTCCACTTCACTGGGGGAAGGAGTGAGAGAGCAGCTGTGTGGAGTTAAGTGGCCGGCTGGGCTAAACCACGACATATCTTCACCTGAATATTGGGATTTGCGTGGTTAAGTATCTAGATATCTAAGCTGATTTCAACTCCCATTTCTACCAGTACTGCTGCCTGTAATGGTGCTGGTGCCATTGCTACTTCTAGATTCTACTTCTTCCAAAAAAGCCCAGGTGAAGAACTGCACCCACTGTGTCTTCCTCTGCAAACAGAGTAAAATCCTAGCCCTAGTGAAGTTAATTCCAGAGCTCCCATTGTTTGAAATGGTGGTGGGATTTCATCAGATATACTTCTTTGCAGGTGTGTCAACATGGAATTTTAATCAGACTTTTAATGAGTTCCCCTTCTGCTCTCTTCTGCCCTTCACCTCAGGATAATATATGGCATGGAACAGACAAAGAACTTTTCAGGCTGTAATTACAATAATTAAAATATGTTTAGTAATTTCTTTCAAAAGCGTAAACAGAGTGATGAAGTCCAACAGACACACAATGCTATTTGTTGGAACACGCATCACCTATTGTAAAAAAGTACACAGGGCTGGTCCAAATACATCCTTGCTGTCATTTTATGCAGGAAGTGAAATCAAGCCAGGGACAAACCTAATGTAATGATGCTGAAAGGCACAAACCCCAGCACATTAATGAAGTAGCCACTGGATTTTCTTGAACATATCTATTTCTAAATGCTTAAATTGAGAAACCTATTGGTAACTATTCAGGGAAGAAAACCCCACAGTTCCCATAGACATTAACTACTTTCATGGGTGCTTCCAATACCAGGAGTTAACAAATCCCAAATTGCACACCCAAGCAGAAGGCACCCCTTTGAATACCTGTTTGCAGTCTTAAAAATGTAAATGTCATATTCATCTAACTCAGCAGCAAAGCGATCACTCTCGTAATACCTTTGGGCTTGGTATGGAAGAATATAGCTGAGACAGTTTAAGGAAACATCTCTTTTCAGGGTGAACAGGAAATATGGTCTCGTTATTGAAAAAGGGAACCTCAGAATGGACTTCACATTCCAAGTCTTTTCTGTAGAGATTGTTATCAAAATCATTTGATAAATCATCAGCCACAAGTAAGATAATAAAGCATGACAGAAACTAGTTTCTAAGAACCATGCCTTTCAGCAAATAGTTGCTTTATATATCCAAGTCTACTCAAACTACACAAGCAGTTCTAATGATAGAAAGTATATATTTTACTTATGAGGTCCCCCTTTCTTCCTTAAATATGTCCTTAATGATGTGGCTTTTGATCTTCGCTCTTCTGCTTTCCCTCCAAAAAGAGGTTGTGAAACTGATGTAAAAGAGCAGCAGTCTTGACTCTCACCATTTCATCTTCACTAACTCTTTCCTCTATTGCACTTCCGTTTTTTTATAGTCCCAGTTTCTTTATTATCTCTATCCCCTTCCTTTTCTTCACTGCCATTAACATTCCCCATGTTTATTTTCAGTTCCCAGAAAATCTCCCCATTCACATTGCTACCTCCTTCTCACCTACCAAAGTACTCTCTTTTTGCCACCTTCTTTCTCTCTGTTTTAGAGAAGCTGCCTCTGAACACACATTGCAATTCTCTCACTGTAGTATGCACTATTTGCAATAAATTAGAAGAAAAATACTGGAGCCTTTATTGTATAAAATGCCTAGTAAAGCTGAATACAAAGTTAACCAGAAGCAGGACGAAGGGTTTCATGCAGGAGCTGCAATACTGTTCCACCCTTTTTCATAGTTTTTCTCTTTAGTTAAAAGAGGAAAACTTACTGTTACCTGCCTTCTGACAAACATGATTATTTCTGCACTTCCAAGTAATCATATTCAATACTAATATACCAGCAAGGTAGAAATTAAACTGAACAAGTCTCCATTTGAATTCAGTGATTACTAAAAATATTTAGATAATGAATTTGAAATGTCATTTTCCAGAAAGAATAACTTCCAATTTGTCCTGATTTTCAGAAAAGAAATTATTGTGGAAGTAACACAGATATGAACTAAACTGCAAAATTCAAAGTTTTAAAGTTTTGAAATCAAGTCTTGTGTTTCAGACCCAGACCTAATAGTGAACACTCCTGTTAATTTTTAAAAGATGAAGAATTTTCAGTAATTTTTTATATCTTGTTTTTTGGATAACTAGCTTGAACATACTCAAGTCCTCATTTTTCTGTGCCAGAAGCCAGAAAACCAGATCTCTTTAAAGTATTTCAAATCAGAAAGTACCTTTTAAAATTTTATTTTATTTAGGAAACTCTCCTCTATCTGCCTATGTTTCCTGAAACCAAGGCTTTTGTTAGATTTCAGCTGAACCGTTTATGAATGATTCATGACCCAAAAGCATAAGCTTTGTTTTCGCAAGAGTTTGTGACCTTGAGCAGAATGTCAGGCTCACCCAAAACTCACACGAATGCTGGTAAAACTCGCTTTCTCTATGGTGAAACATTCCCGTGGAACAGATTTTTGAGACATGAAGTAGTCAGCATGCTGCGTGTGGGTAGGTTAAATGCAGGGTAAGGGAATTAAATATGATTCCAGAAGTGACACAGAAGACAGGACAACATCCAAGGTAATCAGTCCAGAGCCCTGTACCTAAGACAGGGAAAGGTGTGGGGAGAGACTGAAACAGGTTTTTAACTAAAGGATATCAACACAGAATGCTACAGAGGGCTCTATTAAAGACATTTACTTGATCGCTGATAAACTTCTTGAAGTCAGTGCATTTGGGAATTTTTTCTCTAATTGAGATGCTCCCCTGCTATGAAGAAATTGTGCTAGCCTGTTTACTTCCATTTCCCCCAGGGAAATCACTGTGTCAGCAGCTTCGCAGCTGACCTGCCCATGATTTTGGGCCAAACCCAAGAATTTCAGTTAGAGGAGTCTGCTCATGCCAGTGGATCATACCAGTGCAAGGTGGAAAAAGTATAAAGGTAGCCAGCTTTTGGGCAAGTGTGTCTGAGATGCAACAGTTGGAGTGGGAGATTTGACATATGTGTTCTTTCTGCCTGAAAGAGGCATTTATGCTATTTTAGCTGTTTACATTAGGATGAGATTAACTTCACTTTGACATGCCTGTTGTTCTCCCCAGCTATGGAAACAGACTATGTAACTTGCTCTTACGTAGTTTACACTGTAGACACACACCTGATTAGGTAACCAAGCTACCTCTTAATAGCCTCTTGTAGAGAATTACCTACTACAAAGCACTCAGTTGCAGACTTGAATCCTTATTGTTCCTCTCTTCTACACAGTTTGTAAATCTGCCAATACCTCTTGTGAAAAACAGGCACAAAAAGAGGGCACAGAGAATTTCACTCACTGACATAATAACCTCTCAACTCCTGCTGATTTAGTTATCTGCCAATAAAAACCCCAAACCAACCAACCAATCAACTAACCAAGAAAAAATAAACAAGCCCAAAACCAGAACAGATAAAAGGGGCTGCAGCAGTACAGTGGGATGCAAGGATATGTGTTTCTGAACTTGCCATCCTTGCAAGGAGACATCGAATATGCAGGAACACGAAACAGGGCTTGACACATTGACTGTCTCTTTCTCTAGTCATTCTCTCTATAATCTAAATTCTTAAATGAAAGGGAATCTCCAGCACTCCCTGTAAAAACCAGCTCAAAATACCATAGGATTTGGCCAGATTTCTTTAGTATGATTATATGATTTGATTTCTCACGAAAACATTTCCTCTATTTGTATGCCATGTTAAACATTACATTTATGAGCAGCTGGTGGCTCTCAAATCAGAACATGTGTTTACTTTAAGAGTGGTAATCTCTTACAGGTAGTTTACCATTATGTGTTTATGGCCTCTTAAGTAACTATTGAAGGATCAAATGAACTAACTAGGTGGAAAAATATCTATCTTACCTTGCAAAAAGGTAAAAACGGAAGTCATGGAAGCAATGGTTTCAAAACTCATGAATTACTGCATCCCTTCAATGGGATACAATGCTTGTTTATTTTGTAACAAGAATAACTATAACAGGCCTACTTCTGTAGTCTTGCCTGGAGGAACACCTACTCTTAGGATGATTTTGTTCAATGTTAACAGCATTTAGACATGAAGATTCCTGTTTCAACTCTCCAAAAGCTTAGCCTTTTTAACTTAGCAAGTGCTAAAACCAAACAAAAATACCACAGTCTGTGTACAGTAGGCTTAATATTGATTTTTTCAACCTAAAAATCTGAAAATCGAGCCACATTCCTTCCTCATTTTTCAGTAATAAGGATTTTGCAAACCCAACTGGCTACTCTTACAAATTCCCATTTATATTCATGTTATCTCTGTCATGACATTAGTATAACACTTCATATAACACTTTAGCATAACTAAGATGTGAAAGCTAATGAGACTAGAAAGCATAATAATAGCAATAAGGTAATGCATTTGGCTTCCTTCCAGATCGCTCTGCCTTCTCTTCAGGTGAGCCAAATTTATTCAGCTTCAGTTCAGAAGAAAATATCCTTTTAAATATCAAACTTGGTCTCAAATAATGAGCCCTGCTAGGAGGTGAAGCATATCATTCAGTACAGAGCTGCACCAACCCAGATCAAAGCTGTCTTGAATAAGCCTGGTTGGAGAACAAAGGAACTGCAGCCTACTGAGACATGGAGCCGTCCCACTAGCACCGAGACACCGAGTTGTCCCACCAACACCGAGACACTGAGCCATGCCACCAACACGGAGACACAGAGCCGTCCCACCAACACTGAGACAGCGAGCCATCATTAACCACCTCCTGCTGTACGAGGGGCCTGGACTGGGAAGCCTCTTTGGGCAAGGACAGTTTTGAACTGCTGAAGCCAGTTGTTTCTTGGAGCTTTGGAATTAACTACAACTTTTAAGACCAGGGTTAAAGACTACTCTCTTCAGAAAGCCTGACAGAGAGTTGTTAATTCTCCTGTCTTCAGAAGCTTTCGAAGAAGATTTCCAGCAAACCACAATCCAAAGGCAAGCTGAAATGGCCGTAAACATGTAAGAAAAGATCACTTTATCGCTTAACTGTACCCTGGCTTGTGATAAAGCACAGTAACCTCATCATCGTTTTTAAACAGACTGGCTATTGTTTTCTTGTTGGACTGGCATAAAAGGAAAATATATTTTGCTGTGTGGCCTAACAGATCCTGTTCAGCACAGTTAAATATTTATTGTTTTCATCTACATGTTACAGACAAAATGCCTGATCTCAAGGCGCAGAAATAAGGGTGGAAAATTCGAAAATGCTGGCTCCTTTTGGATCTTGCAATGTGAAAAGATATCTTTTCCTACTCTCTGGCAACATCAAACACACACAAGGATATTTCCACGTCATTGTAATAATTGTGGGCTACACGTCACATAAAGATCAATCCTGCAATAGTTTCCAGTGTGAGAATTTTCAATGTGCACACAGAAAACCCCAACTTCAGTCAAGATTTTGCTCTAAATAATTCAGGTTTCTGGCACAGAGTCTTAATGATCCCTGGAGCCATTTTTGAGGTGCAAAAGAAAGGAGGAAAACAAGTTAATTTACAAGATTGTAAGGAAAAACATCCTGATGGCAAAGAAACGTGAAAAAAATTTTGTAGGAACAATACTTTTTACATCATTTCTTTAACATTAATATGTTTACCCAGGTTTTTAACTAGCAAATTAGACTGAGAAGGCAAACACCTTATAAAATCTGTGCCAGCTAATTTAGCTTCTGTTGTGTAAACTAAGAGAACTAGCAGCATCAGTGTATCTTCTAAGGAGCTGGCAATAGGCTGACTTGCAATTCCACAAAATTGAGACGTCAGACTGAGTTCCTTAAATCTCAGAAATGTCTAGCTTACTTAAAGCTCATCTCCCTGACTTCTTCTTTGGTGTTTTTCACTTGGGTTGTGTCATAGGTCTTAAGAGTCCTAGATGACTGACCTCTTCTAGCTGGCAGGCTTTGATGACACTCTTGTATCGGTATTCATCGTAGGATACACCAAAAATTATGTTTTCTTTTATTGTTCCAGGCATGATCCAAGAGACTTGAGGTGAAAAGGATATTCTTCCACTGTGTTTAATTTTACCCCGTGAAGGCTCCAATTCTCCCATGATCAGCATCAGAAGAGAAGTCTGAAAAATCATTAACACTTGGTTAATATATCAGAGATCTGGATAACCATAAGGAACGCTAAACAAAACGAGAGTGACTCTGCTAAGAGTAAATTTGTGGTGCATTTGTTTCGTAAAGAGTGTCCCTATAAGTACTGATCTAGAGCAAGCTGCAATTAGTGGAGATTTTCATGATACATAAGGTTCCAAAAGACCTCTGAAATGAGAGAAACTTCATTCAATAAACAATAAAAATTGTGTAAGATAACTTGTAAAAAAGGCATGCTGCTGCAAATGTATTTTTAATTAAACTTCTCGTAATTATTCAAGGTAAAAACGTGAGTATCTGAGAGACACATACAGACATAAGGTATTAGTATTTATGGAGAATGTTATTAGATTTTTAACATTACCAATGACTACTTTGTTTGTTCTTTGTACAGCACAATTCATGTTTACAGTTTTGCTAGTGTTCATAAGCCTTTTATCTATATTGCCTTAAAAAATGCAATTTCTTTGTGTACATGTATACGATTACTCACAAACTGCTCAGTGTGATCTGAATTTTCCTCTGTAACTGTTAACTCATTTACGTGAATGCATGACCTAAGTATATTTACTATTTCCTTTCATAAAAGAATTGATTGCAATTTCAGTACCGACATGCTATAATTTCAAAGTTAATCAGTAGCTTGTAGTAACCTTGTCACACATCACAGACTACTAGATCAAAGAATAGAATTGAGAAATACAAGGAAAAATATGTTACAGAGCCATTCCAGTGGTGTTCTTATCACTAATAAGCAGTCAACAAAGCTGGGACGTAACAGTCAAAGATCTAAAAATCTGTCTAAGTCACAGTTTCATGCTGTCAAGTCCAGAGATCCTCTGACAAGTTATACAACATGTAGGGAGAAGTCTCACAAGATTCCTTCCATTATACCAGAATCTGAATTTTCCAAAATGCCAAGAAGTTTCTGATCTTGCAAAGGATAGTCACTTTGTATATTTTGCACACTGGATATTCAACTACTGTATCTTGTGCCATATAATATAAATGGGAAAAAAAAAAACAAACTCAACCCTATCTAATATTGAAGCAGTATTAAAGAACTGATGTCAGGCTTCATACATGATACAGATAAAGAGAGTGTACAATCTATTTTACAGGCCTGACAATCCCTGGAAAATACAGTAACAGCCTAAAGCAACTTGAAGCAAACCTTAAATTAAGAGAATATAAGGAAAGGAGAAACTCTCATTTTTTGGAGGGAGGGCATAAACCTTATTTCTCGTAAATCTTTCAGATATTATTGCAAGCCTTTTATCTTTATTGCCTTGAAAAATGCAAATTTGTTATATGCATATACTCACATAAACCGCTCAGTGTGATCTGAATTTTCCTCAATTTCCTAAGCAGCTGAAGAAAGAAGATATACATACATTCTTCAGCTCTTTCTAGTTGACCTTTTTTTAATAAGAAGTATCAGCTTTAGCAATAGCCATCTGAGATTATCAGCAATATAGGAGAACTATTCTGTTAATCCAGAATATCACGGTATAATGCATCTCAACATACCAGCTTGAGGACAACCTCATGTCCTGAGTCCCTTGCTCTTTCCTATTGGTATCATTACTGAAAAATAATATAGAAGTCTTGATCATATTGAAATTCATGAGTCTTTTGCCATCGACTCCAATAGACCAAAGATTTTACCCAATGCAAGTAAAAGAAATCAGAATATATTTACCAATAATTTGTTAAACAGGAAAAGTTGCAAAATGTGTAATGAATATTTGTTTTGACTTTCACATCTCAGAAAACCCAGTGAAGATGAAAGACTCATCTAATTACTTGCTGTTCAAAGTGAATAAGAGTATCAGAGTCCAACTCATTTTACATTAATGAGTTTAATTGGATGTGTTATCTGCAAACTAAATGTACTGATAACATTCCAGGGTTCTAAAATGATGATTAATCTAAAGAACAACTTTCCTCAGAAAACCACCAATTTTGGCAGCACCTCCCCAGATTTCCACATGGGACTCAGGGAGTCTGTCTGAGTGATGCACTGCAGGAACCAAGCACAAGTGACTAGGTATACCACATGTCCAGGGCACACGTCTTAGTTACCTGGCTAACCCATGTCAGGCTTGTCAGCTTACTGACCATCTTGTGTTTTTTTTTCCTTAAAATTTTTCCTTAAAATGTTAGCAAGGCAGGAAAAAAAAAATCAAGTCTGCTTTCTAGCATACTGAGCTGTCTGTATATCTATGCTATGTTCTACAGTTTACTGTTTTAAAGGCAAGGAGATTCTTACAATGAGCAAACTTTAGGTTTCAGTTTGCATTATTCCTGCAAATCTCCTTTTACTCCCTACAGAAAAATAGTTTTGTCATTTAAATTGCTATTTCCTTATTAAGTCTGTATCCTTGTATGTACAAAAAATACCCAGCAAACTCTTTCTCATATTGGCCACAGAGTAAAACTTCAAATAACTGTCGCCCGTTTTAATTAAACCTACAGTTTACTCATACTTTTTCCTGCAGCTATCATTTTCACAGAGAGCACAGGACAGTAAGAATACAGTAGCAATAGAGGTAACAATACAGATAACAACACAATATTATTCCTTAAAATTATCAGAACTTTTGTTGAAACAACTGAAATAGAAATACCTTGCCTGCTCCAGTAGATCCAGAAACAGCTAGTAACTGTCCCTTCTCAATCTTGAAATTTATATCCTGAAGAACAGGAGAGGCATGAAGGGGAAAATTACTGAAGAAGAGATTGTTGTCAGTGCTAGGAGCTTTGCTGTTGTTGTTTTCCTGGTTTGCTTTTATAAAGAGCTCTCCAATTCCCTGCAACACACACAGATGTGTATTTGTATGTACATAAAATAGAAATAAAACATGTATATGCAGACATGTATATCATACTATGGACTTAGGAAAATATACAAACTTACCTTTCTGATGTTATTTTTCATATCTAAAACACATTTATTATATTCTTAAATATATATATTAATGTATATATTGGACTTGCTCTTAAATTTGTGGACACAAACAAAATTTGCCTATTATAGAACTGCTTTTCAATGTTTATACATGCCACAGTCTGATTCTGTTTTCAGGCTGGCTTAAATCAGAAATAACTACTTAGTACAGACCTTAACACTTATTAAACAATCTCTTCCAAAGCTTCTCAACCCTGGATAATTTGATATTATGCGTTAATTACTTGCTATATATTCCTTGCCTGCTGATAGCTGAAGCCAGTTAAAATGAAGGAGCGTAGGCTGATCTTTTTGGAGAACATCAAGGCAAATATTGGTACAAAACATACACTCTGTGTTTTAATTTAGTGTGGGTAAAAGTACTAACCTCATCCCAAAAAGCTGTTACTTTGTCCAGCTCAAGCCCAGTGGTTGTTAGATTATACTCCAAGGCTTTATATTCTTTTTTCAGTAAGAAATCCTAGAAACACCATGAAAACAGATGACAGGAAACGGTAAGGGACGACAGCCATATCACACAAAACAGTACATCCTCGTCAATGCAGAGCACTAGTTCATATTTCTGATGGTGCTATTGCGTTGTAGTGTCTTAGAGAGAGGCATAAATACAGCTGATAAAACATCTTTTGAATAGAGAAGGAAATGGTTTTTAAACTATAAATTCTTTCATTGCTAGTGAAAACATAACCATAAATATATTCGATTCTGGTTTAGAAAGAATATCAAAACTTGACAGTTCCTTTGCTTTCAGGACTTGTACCAGGCAGCATCACCCCTCCGACTTCAATTTTTTTCAAATAAAGCTTTGGTTTTAGAGTAGGATGTGGAAGGTTGCACTCTGTTCAACAGTGAAACAAAGCAGCTACATGCTGCTATCTCCCTATTCCATAACTGCAAGGGTTTAAAAGAGTTAGAATGGTGTCTCTACCAATAAAAAAAAAAAAAAAAAAAGCAGATAATGATCCTGTTGAGTGCAGCACTGAAGTAGCATAATTTCAAATTACACAAGTCAGCAACCCAACGCTTGTGTTACCTTCTGGGATAATACTAGGAAAAAAGAGTAAACCTTTGTTAATGTAAGAAAGACAACTTTTCTATCCCATGATTTTGTTAAGGTTATTAAGTCTGTAGGTACCATCATCTCTAAACTGTCTTTTAAATTATGTGGAACCACATAGGTCTGCATGGGCAATACAGCAGACAAACTAAGCAGATGGTAAAGGAGAAAATCCGTTCTCTACAGTAAAGTTGCAAATTTCCCAAGTAGAACAAGCAGAAGGGAAAAAGCAGATGACTGAAAGAGCAGGAACCACAAAACTGGAAGGCAAACCACACACAGTTTATGCAAAAGAAGGAAATGATAGCTAGGCTTTCATAACAAAGGCAGTGGGGTCACCCAGTGGAGTTGCTGGAGCAGCAAGAGTCAGAGAAAGCACACTGATCCTGAAAGACTTCGTGGTCTGGAAAACATGGGTCTAGCTACAGGGCAAATATGATAAGCCAGGGGACATATCTGACCCAATGAACTCTCTAAACTGATGAGGAAATTAAATCAGAGAAACATATGAGTGGTTTATTATTTTTATTTATGTTTCTCACGACAAGTAAAAGGCATCGGTGTTCTGGGATTCTGTGCAGTCTGTCTACGGGGTCTATACTGAACCTGCCACAAAGAGATGATTATTTATGGATTCAGAGCATCCACAGAGCTGATACCTCACAGACAAGCGTTCAGCAAAGTGATGGCAATGGTACGACAACTGGGCTTGCCAGTTCTGTGACAGGGCATTGGATACACTCTTCCAGGAAACAGGAGAGATGGGATACCTCCACTAACGCCTAGGGAATCTGAGACCACAAGGACTGCCTAAATTGGGACCCAGCAAGGCAGCCTTCTGAATGTCGAATAGAAAGGTTAGAAAGAGAAACAGAAAGGCTAGATAGCTAGAATTTTCTGCCCAGTTGAAGATCACAAAAATTCAATACCTGCTGCTTATTCTATATTAAGGTTAGAATTTCTGAGCAAGACCTTTAAGTTCCATATTAGGTATTTTTATCACACTAAAAATAATAAAATGTATGTTTTACCAAAAAATAGCTAAAAATATGTTTTAAAAAAGCCTAAGATTTCACCTCGAAATAGAATAAGAATCCTTTTCCTGAGGAGTGGTTTCAAAACAGCAGATAAACCAGATACATTTAATGAGAATGAACTCTGATTTAACACTGCAGATAAGCCTCTCATGCTGGTATATGAGCAATTGATCTCAGTAGGTAAGGTAGGTAATAATTATTTGACCGGAACCTTAATTATGTTTACTACTCATAATGAATGAGATGCACATTTGCATAAGATGCACAATCTCCTTCTGTTCTTGCCACTAATAGCTAGGAAAACAGAAGATCTACGATTGCAACTACTGGAAGCTGTGCTATATAAAACATGTACTAGTTTTGTACTTCCTTTTCTGAAGGAAAAACATCTCTTAAACACCACAACTCATGATATATTTTTATTAAGTTCCTTATTCTGCAATAAGAAGAAACAACTAAATGCCACTGTTTCAAAAAAGCAGCGTGCAGGTAGCATGAGACTCCTGTGGTCATGCTGCCTGGGGAACCATATAACAATATCAAGATTTATAATGACATTTCATGGTGTGTAGTCAAAGCAACATATAGTATATTTGGAAAGACTGCTTAAATGTTGTGTGCTTTTGTTGATCAACTGACAAGATAACATACTATAAAGAATTAGCTTACGCACTTGGGAAAGATTTTAGTGTATGTATCCTACCTGTATTTTGTTTATTGCTCCAATAGAGTCATACCAGGTCTGTAGAGACCCAGGAAACTGCCTGGTCACTGCCATTCGAAGAACAATGCAGAAGGAAATGGTGGTAAATATTTTTCGGAGAATAATTCCTTTAATTAGAGCATATGGAAGCACAGCTAAAAACACCACAAAAAAGCCTGAAAAGAAGAAGGCTGAGCTGTTGAAATATCTCACATAAGCAGCTTTTCGGGTTAGCTTCAATTCAGTTCTGTTAAAAAAACAAATACAAATCATTAGTACAGGATTCCACAGTTTACATCTTACAAATATGTTGGATGGAACTGGTAGAACAATTAACTCAGAGGCTCATTCATCCTTATTATTTTCTAGGATTGCAGTTAAAAAGCAAGGTTCAAAACAATTTTTGGACCTAAAAAATAATTAGAGCCAAATTTGGGCATCATTGTTCAGAGATGTTAGACAAAATAACGATGATCTATGTCATGGTTTAGATACCTCATAACCCACAAGACTCTACAATTCCTGGCACAATCATCCTTAAGCACCTAACGCTGTGGTATATGATAACACTCCCAGAAGTGTCATCCTATACTCATCTACATACATAACTCCCCTAGAAATAATATACTTTGAAATGCCAGATTTGCTATACATGACCATAAAAAAAACTAAGAACAATCCACAAGCCAATTATAGTGTCATCTCCTCTTGCAGAGCACCCTACTAACAGCTTCACCCATGAAGTAAGGTATCAGTTAACCTGAGCTTGAACAGGTGGAAGGCAGGGAGTCTGCTCTCCACCTTCCTTTCTCCAGAGAAGGTCAGTCTACAGGGTAGCTTACTGACTGCTGTGCACTCAGGAATGCAACTGGTGAATACTCTTAGCTGCTTCCACAATGTCTACGCGTCTTACAGCAATCTACTAAAGAAAAAGAGAAATAATCCAGGGAGTGTAATTCATTTTCTGAGTTGACAGCCCTAACTCACAGTGCTGAAGCTTTCTATTGACTGCTCTCATTTTGACCCCGTTCACTTACATTCCCCAGGTGCCCTGCAGCTCAGCTTTGCCTGAACAGAGGTACCTCTGTTGCAGTGAAAGAGCAACTGCTCTGCTGCAAGAGCAGTTAACTGGGTCTAGAGATGGAGCAGGACCCGAAGGTGACCATTCACTGGATGAGTGCTCTAACCACTGGGATACTGTGCAGAAGTTCATGGTCACGTTGTTGACGGTAATACATGGTGTTGCAAGGCTGAGCACCATAATCTTCACATGTCTTCTGGCATTGAGCCAGTGTCTGCATGCAAGCCATCCAGGATTTTGGAGCTGTGGAGAACCTCCTTTCAGCTCCACACTATGCACGCATGAGACTTCCACATGCATACAGCACCTTACCAACTTTTGTTAGTCAAAGTGTTCTTAAAAGTCCCTTTCTGTTTCCCTGACAGAAAATCTGAGCTTATCCTGTTTTGGAGCAGGGTGCCTAGCACCTCCTGTTAAGTCTGTTTTTCACAAGAGAGGCCAGAAGAAAGTAGCCAGGCATGCACGTCACCACCACAGTAGCAGTCACTGTCCTGGAGAAAGGGCCTTGTCAGTCCCTCTAGAGCTTGTATGAGACTGTGGGTGGCAGCACTGAATAGAGATAACAGATTTTGGGGTTTGGTGCTCATCCAGTCCCACACAAACACCTGGGTAGAAGCTACCAAGAATCACTCCCAGTGCTGAAGCACAAGGCCGCCACTCCAAACAGGGAGAATCAAAGCACTAACCCTTTCAGTACGCTTCCAAGTATCAGGTACAATCTGACCCAGCCACAAGCAAACGTTTTCCAGAGGTGGATCTGTCTGTAACATAGGCTTGAGAGCTCTGTAAATTAAGCACTCATTCGGGATAGGTCTTGCTGATGCAATACAGGCACTTGGAGAGAGACATAAGGGACACCATGAGCCTTGTGCATGTACAGAGCGCAGACAAGTGTATGTCTGGTTTTGAACTGATGCTGCAGCAATCAGTACCAATACACGGGCTTGGGATTCTTTGTGCTATGCAATGGTTCAGGGGAACAGTTCGGCGTTCCGGTTTTTCACTTCTCTACATACACCGCACAGCACATAGGAGTGCAGGTATGTTTATCCAAACACGTTCATTCATTCATTCAACTGTTACGAACACTTATTATCAGTACAGACTTCAGAGGCACACAGAAGACATCCCATATTGATCTCTCTGAAGTGACACGCTATGAAGACAGGCTGAGAGAGTTGGGGCTGTTCAGCCTGGAGAAGAGAAGGCTCTGGGGTGATCTTATTGCAGCTTTCCAGTACCTAAAGGGGGCCTACAGGAAAGCTGTGGAGGGACTTTTTACAAGGGCATGTAGTGACAGGACAAGGGGAAATGGCTTTAAATTGAAAGAGGGGAAATTTAGATTAGATATAAGGAAGAAATTTTTCACTCACAGGGTGGTGAGGTACTGGAACAGGTTGCCCAGAGAAGTTGTAGATGCCCTATCCCTGGAAGTGTTCAAGGCCAGGTTGGATGAGGCTTTGGGCAACCTGGTGTAGTGGAGGGTGTCCCTGTCCATGGCAGGGTGGTTGGAACTAAATGATCTTTGAGGTCCCTTCCAACCCAAACCATTCTATGATTCTATGACACAGTTCCCTGGGGGAGTTTGCCTGCGGCAGTGTTACACCTGCAGGATGGCCAGCCTTGGTAGTCCAAGTCTATCAGAGTAAGGGCACAGTCCTATCTAGTTCACTAGAGCTGACTAAAATGGGTTTCCTCAAAAAATGCCGGCATGCAGAAGTGGTTTGGTAAGGACTGCGTTACAACGCACTGTTGCTAAAATACAGGCATGGCTTCACACACGAGGTCTCCTTTCCTACCAGCTTAACAATCCAACTGATTTGGGAGGCCCTGCAGAGCTGGGTCAGCAAGCAAAATTCAACTGAAACTCTGACATTCCTGAGTTCACCTGCTCTGGTGATGTCTTCATCAGATACCAAGTGACCTGTTGGATCACTCAAAAATATACGGTATTTTGGTGCAGAGAAGTAGAAGAGAGATACTTTGATATTTTAATATTGCCAGCATTCTCGTCTTTTAAAAGTCCATGCATAATAGAATAAAAATTGAATACCGGCATTACCAAATTCACTATAAATTACTGTAGAAAATATAGAACACAAAATGCCAGTCTTTTTTCCAGTTTTCTGTGACCATTTTGCAGACTAACTTTTATTTAATTCATTTCTACAGGATTTGCTCACAAGACGTGGTCTCAAATTTCCTAAAAGCAATGCATGTGACTAGTGACACCAGGGGAATCTTAACCTAGTTCCATCCTTGCGCTGGAACTCCTGGCCTGGATTCAGGTTGAGTTTTCTGACTGTTTACAGTAAACTATCACACTTTTTAAGATCTTCCTTATTCTAAAGGTAAAGAACACTTCACTTTCCCTGGATTGTCTTTCAGAAAGCAGTTGAACAAGAAGGTGTTTGTGTAATAATATTGTTTCATCTCTTTTATTTACATGATAATACGACACTTGTATTTCTTTTATTTTCTTTTATTTTCCCAATCACACACCTGGCATAGAATTTTAATTCTCTGTAAAGGACTAAACAAACACACAGGACAGCTTTAGTGCAGCGTCACCCATCAATCAATATGTCACTTCTCCTCCCTTCCCCTGTCACTAACGAAGACCTCCTTCTCATAGCTCTCAGCTAACTAGGTTAGCTCTTCTACCTCCTTTCTGCTTCAGGTCTGGTAGTTCCAGTTCAATCTTGATATTAATTGAAGAGATAAGCATCATACAAGGCTATCTACAGACAATAAATGTTAATGCAATTGTGCAGGCTGAATACATGAAACTGCTAATCCTTTCATGGATTGCATGTAAATGAGCTTTATTGCATTTCTCAGAAAATGGCTGCAGAGGACTCATATTGTTTCCTTTACTACAGAATAGGAAAGTCTGTAAAGCCTTAAGTCACCATCACAAAAGGGCTTTTTATTGTAAGATGAGGATAGGGCTGGCCAGAAACACACAGATGCCACAATTGTTTTACCTGCACAAACTAACCACTGAAATATCATTATAACAAATGAGGAAGCAATTAAAAAAAATCAAAAAAATCTCACCTCCATAGTGAACTTGACAAATTGGGAAAAGAGCCAAGCTGCAGTGTGGGAATGCACGGTTAGTTTATGAAGGATTAATATTTGTGTGCTTGTTCATAGCCATCTCTTTTTTTTTTTTTCTGAGCACATAAAAAAATTGACTGAAAAATGAGAACACTTACTCACGGATGCTTTCAATCATTTTTTCCATTGCATCTTCCCAACAATAGGCTTTCACTGACTGTATATTTTCAATTATTTCTGAGGTGATGACAAGTCTCTCATTGATCTTTCCTGCCCTCTTATTCCTACAAAGTAAAAAGGCAGTAGGTCAATCTTCATCTTTTTCATCCTGTGTAGTTAGTTTGCATCCCATTATATCTTATGAAACACTTTCCCTATATATCTATGCTTAAAATGTTTAACAGAATTATTATGAATAATGTGAAAGGAATTATTATAAATCTAGTAATTGTTTGGCTAAGAAAAAAATACAAGCTCTGAAAAGAATAAATCAAGTCACTAACAAGTAGTTTTACTTCTACCAAGCATTATCACTATTTACTGCACATTAGATCTTTCATTTTGTTAAGTTTAGACAGCTTCTGCTAAATAAGTAAAGGCTTGTCGTGACTTTCTGAACACAGCCAACACTCTTCGGACTCCTCTTTTGTAACAATGTCAGAACTAGAGACTCTTAATCAAGTGGTGTAAACTTTTTAAACCAACGTGCTTCAGGAAAACATATTGAAATATTTTAAAACAGTCTCGTCACCTGTATTTCATCATCATTTGTCCCAGCCAGACTTGGAAAAAGGCCAGGACTATTAGCAAAGCAAGTCCACAAAATGCAGATGCTTCTAACATATCCCAGAGCAGTCCCATCAGCAGTACCACTTGTAAAGGTGCAATCCATACAAAATGAGCCAGAGCAAGACCCTGTGGAAGCCCACAGCAGAAAATAATAATAATACAAGTTACAGATGAGCTCTGAAAACTACATGAAAAGAAAGAAGTCATTAAAGTGACACTTTGAAAAATGTAATGAAGAATGGTACAAATATTTCCAGTAGTAAAACAAGTTTATAAAGCAGGATTTGTGATCCTGAGAACCTATCATTCTGTGTGTTAAATATGATGACAGTGCAGCAATACGTATACATTCCACACCTAAACTTTCATTTCTGTAAGGCAAAGTTCAGCCTGCAATTGTCTCTCTACTATGTATACGCATGAGGACAAAATTCCAGCTTTGTAAAAGCAAACAGAATTTGCCATCGATGCTGGCTTTTTCAGTCACTGCAAGATGAGAAAAACACACAGAAGAATCTTCTCAGACTGATTTAATCTGATACAGGAGACAAATATTGCTTTGGTGAAGAGATGACTGTTGTGTGAACGTGTGAATACAACTAATTCAAAATAGATTGCTGCCTACTTCAGTCATGTTCCTTCACATTGGTAGGATTTTGGACTAAATCCTGTGATCAGGCTGTGTGGGGGTCTGTGCTACGGCAGCTGCACTGCTGCAACGATAGGGCACTTGTCCCAGCTTGTTCAGCACTAGTCGACATTGCTTTATATAGTAATATAATGCTTAAAGTAAAGACACTCTATAGTTCCAGTCATGTGTCTCTGATCTTGCTTCTTTCACAGGAAGCAAATCTCGTACTACCAACGGGCCAATCAAACATACATGCTGAACAGAAGTTCATAGAGTTTCCAGTTCCCAAAGCCATTAACAGGGATTTACCTCTGTGTCCCTAATGAGAACAGAAGTTTTACAGGAAACTCTGGAAGTATTGTCTAAGACGGATGTGTTGGGAATGATTCCTAATAAGGTCTTACATCAACACTTACTCACCTTTAGGTGAGTGGGTATTAGTAGCAACAGGATGCTGAACACCATTGCTTGTTCAACGGCAGGAACAGACTGGATCACATTAGTAAAAAGGTATGGTGGCCAGCAAAAGAGGATTGAAGGATTGAACCAGCAAGTTCTAACCTCTATGAATCCAGCTGCATTACTCAGAGGTTTCCTGACAGGTTCTCACCAGACTGTAGAACAAGTCTGGTTTTACGGCATAGTCAGGTTTTAGGTTTCCTCTACTAAGCGGCATAGGAGATAAAAGGTGTCATAAGTATCAGAACAAGCATCTCCACGACCATGTGCCAACACATTTTCCTAAGGTATCAATACATTTCATATCTGCAAGGAGCACTCAGTGCAGTTAGTCATTTAAGCTCGCTCCTTCCTTCCTTCCTTCCTTCCTTCCTTCCTTCCTTCCTTCCTTCCTTCCTTCCTTCCTTCCTTCCTTAATATTTGTCACTTGAAGTATTGCATTTGTATTTGATGGATCACCAAGTGGATTAAACAACCGATGACATACCTCATCAAATTTGTTCAGATTGTTGGAAAGAAGACTGACCAATTGTCCAGTACTTATTTTATCTAGAACTCTGCTTGACAGTTTTAAGATCTGTAAAAGAAAACAAAACCATAGAAAAATGGCTGTGTGACTCATCCTCATAAAACAGAATAAATACAGATAAAAATAAACAACAATGGTACAGTAGTATAAATAACAATTCACTTATCTGCTTCTGCCATAAAGTCTCATTAAACTTATTTATGTCACTTGAATTTAATATAGCCATTAAATTGCTTCACAAATATTGATTTATTGACTTAGTCCTTGCTTTCTGTTGAATATTTTATGTGTATAGATATATATGCAAATGCAAGTTTTAATTAAGCATGCATGCTGTGTGCTGCTGTGCATTCTCAAAAATCTCCTACTGTGCCTATCTTGACAAATATTTTTGAAAGATGTTTTCACAGTGAGCTTTATACTAGAGTAACTAGCATGTTTGTTTAAATTAGCTGCTTTTGGAATTGGTAAAACCAAATACCATTTTAAATCTTTAGATTGTAAACATGCGATGCATCAGTATTTGTTGATTCTTCACGCTATGGAGACTTCACACAGTATCATTCAAACTCAGTCCCTTCTATGTTATATTGTTTAAATCTTCACCTCTAATCCTCTTTTGAAATATTCTTTCGCCACCAGCACGTGTTATTCTTCCTTAGCAATACACGTGCATAACAGGAGCACAGTGGCAGAACGATTAAGGTATCTCACCACATATCCGGCATGTCTGAACTCACACAGAGGCTGATTTCAGTGAAACCAGCTGTAGATGAGTATTTAATTCTTTGGACTTAGGAAATGAAGAGCTGTCAGAAATTGATGTTAGCCACATTATTCTTTTGTGTACTTTGTGTAGCTTGACTAACAAAACTATCAATCTTTCAGCAAACTGGCCTAAAGGTTACATAGGCTACAGACAGAGGTTTGGCTTTGAGTGTAAATGAAACAATTACCTTCTTATAAATCAAGCTAAACATAGCTATCCTCATTTGCATTCCTATATGATGAAGACCAAATACAGCAGGGTGTATGAGTAGTGTTCTCACAACGAAGAGAAGGCACAAGCCAATGCCCAGGTAGTAGGCTATGGATCTTTCCATGGAGTTGTCCGGATCATAGGAAGCTATTATTCTTCCCAGCAGAAGAGGCTGCACAGATTTGGTGACTTCCTGCAGATGTAAATGAGAAACATAATTTTGATCAGTAGTTTGTTCTTTTTTTTTTTGAAATGGTTAATATTTTCATTTCAAGTTCTACCAACTGAGATTTACAGCTTTATATCTTAAATGAGGAAGCCAGGTCTGTTTGCTGTGCAACCACAGAAAGTTGCAGTAATTGCACAGGAGAACAGACAACTCACTGCTGTCTTAATCTGTGATGCTCCTGCAACTCCACCAAAGCAAATCTAGTTTTGTAAATTCTGTTTGATCATTTTCTACAGAAGTGACAACTGAAGTTAGCTTCCACATTTACTCTCCAGAGTTGTAACGGATTGGCCACATCTTATGACTGAATCCAGTTTAGCAGGCTGGATCTCTGTTTTGGCTCCTAGGGAATCGTTCTCACTGCACTTTACTAGACTTACAGGACACAGGAAAACTCAGAGCTCCTGAAATGAACACCACTAGAACAACACAGTCAGGATATAGCTAAAACGAAGTAAATGGGAATAGCAACAGAATAAAAGTATAAACAATTTAGATCATCCTACCCAACAGTTCTAGACATCGTATCCAGGGTTGTAACAAAAGCAGGATGAGAGGGTGTAAATGGTAGGAGAGGCAAGTTTAATAAAAGTCCCAGAGAGAAAACAGTCCCTCCTGCATTTGCAGCCCCAGAACTTCCCATCTCTGGATGAGTAACAGAGTAGAGAAACAGAGTGGGAGAGGAAAAAGAGGCAGTATCATATTGCTAAACTGTGAGGCACCCAAATGATCTGCTATAGCCCTGACATTACCTTAGTCTGCTATTACGTTTGTCCTCAACCTCCTTTTTGGTTGTAATTAAACCCCACTTGCATTATCTCACCTCTGCCTTCCATTTCCTGTCATGCCCCCATCTTTCTCATATTTTCACTCCTATAAGCTCATCCTTTTGCGTCTCTGCCTTTTGCTCCCTTTTTCCTTCTGCAATCCTTCCCCAAGAACTGCAAAAATCATCGGTGTGCTGTGGTCTACCAATTTGCTTCATCTTCTGCATGAGCTTCCAAAGGGTATGAAGTCTGTACGTGCTCCTTTACTTCATTGTTACATTCAGTGTAAAAATACTTAGTGCTAAGAACTTTCACGCGTGTCTCTTTATCCTTCTTTCTGTCGTGTCTCAGCAGAAAGCATACGATCCTTCAAAAATAGCAAGAAACTTTTCATTTCCTTTTTGTACAGATGTGTTAAATTCTGACAAAAAGTTATTGGTACTGCCTTCCAGCTGAAAACCACACAGACCACCATACAGAGAATCAAAGAGACGTGAACTAGTGAAATTCAGCTGTAATTAATGTTTTACACTGACAAGTAGATTAGGAAAATCCCCTTTGATTTTTTTCCTTCTCTTTTGGGTTCCTTTTGGTTTCTTATACAAGAGCAATCACAAGTACTTCTACAACCTCTGCTGTAACCCTTTTTGAATGTCAGTGTTGGTGGAGCTGATATTGACCATTTACTTTTTTCACAGAAGAGATGAAATTTTACATCTCAAACAGCATACCTGTGCTACACACTACATTTCTTAAATTAAACACCACTCTGCCCCAACACAAATGCTGTAAACCTGGAGACAGCTTTGACAAAGACTTCAGTGTTATTAGTAGACAAAGGGAGGAGTGTTTATTAAAACACACATGACCCAAGGCAGCTGTGCTTAGACCATATGCATCCCAAAGCGGCAAACCAAAGCTCCCCAAAACTCACAAAATACAGGAGAGTCACCTCTCAAGAACAATGCAGTGCTTTCATACTCTCAGAGATTCCAAGATAAGCTTTTATATATAGGCTTAAAATAGACAGATTTTTTTTTTTTTGTATTTACGCTTATTCCAGTGAAAATGCCATGCTCTGCTGCTATGTTTGTTGTGACTATAAAGGTATTGCATACATGCCTAGCTCGCTGGAAAAAACGTGATTTACAGACTAAGGGTAGAATAATGGCTGGCAATAAGCCAAGTCATTTGCTATCTCATGGGGTGTAAAAATCCACTGGTTAACAGTGGAGATTTATCAGCCTACTTACCGAAGATATTATTAACTAGTTTACAAACAAATTAAAGCAGAACTACCTGTTATTCACTTCTCCTCTTGTAATCTCGAAATTACCCACTGATATGAACATGAATAAACTGATTAGCATGACTTGCCTAAAAAAAGGAATGAGATTTGTGCACCCAACAGAACATCATCTTTTCAAGAGCCATGTTTTTCCTTCTCCTGTCCTTGCTCTTCCCTCTGCATTCATCATAGGCCACTGAGAAACTCAGAAACATCTGCCTCACAGAAATCTTAATTAAAAGAGTAAAGATCTGAAGAGAAACAATAGTATGACAAAGGATACCGTGCTAATCTTGAGCTGGTATGGTTGTTCTTGCGCAATGAGAACTTTTACGTTACGTGCATCCCCCGTATGCTCAATCACTCTGCCTTTGAAGACAATACTGCACATCTCTGTTTTGGCATATGCCCAAGAAGTGCTTCGGGACTTTCATATCCCTCTCTGTCTCCTCACTCACACCCGTGACCTATATGCGAGAACTTCAGGAAATCCTCATTAGGGCCCTTTGGGATATGATACTAAAACCTTTCTAAGTTAATGATAGAAGCTGCTGTGCCTGAGTGGAAATATATATTTCACAGGGATGAATATAAGAGAAAAATGTAAGCAGAACTGAACTGATCCTCACGGCAATGTACCCATTTTGCTAGCCCGTATCATGCTAAAAAGGAAGATTTTTTCTTTCACCACCATAACACCTGTTCTTTAAATTGCAAGACATCTGATGATGAGGTGAAGTGTGGAAGCTGTTTTGAACAGCAGGGGAGCAGTTCCATTAAGTGCAGTAGCTCAACGTGCCTAACACAACACTGTTCACGAGGGAGAGTCGTAGTGCTCTAGGGGGCCAGAGCACAAGTGTCCACCCTGTAACAACATCATTACCTACAGCGCATGAGGGGAAAGGGAGAGATGGAAAAACGACTAGACCTAATGAGAGCAAAGCTGTGATGCCAGTTGCAACAACAACTACACAAACAGCAGGGATGTCAGCAGAGTCTAAACCACACTCCAAGAAAGGTACCATGAAACAGCTCAGGGACTTGACAAGACAAGAGCTGAAAGGAAAGCGAAGCTCAAAAGAACACGCAATTTGGTTGCACCTATGCCAATACGGCACAACATCCTGTCCCTATTTAAATTAATGGCAAAGCTCCCATTAATTTCCGTGAGCAGGGCCTGAAAAGAACACCAGTAGCTTTAGCAGCAAGTTTTCCTCTTACAGCTTTCAATAAAATGAAGACTAATGACAACGGAATCAAGAATTTAAACTAAGATTTAATCTTTCATTGTTCATTGTAAAAGGTGTAGATTTTGTTTCCTATGTGCTGAATTGCATATGTCTGCGATTTCTTTAAAAAAAAAAAACAAACAAAATACAAGCAAAGAATGACTCAAAAATCCTGCAGTCCTGTTCTGTCCTCATCTGGTGTAAAGTTGTTAAAAAAGTCCACATGGAGAAATCAACCCTGCACAGTCCCAGGCGTCCATGCCCACACACATTTCACTTGCCTTTACTCTGGGAAAGGAAGTGATCCTCAAAACTGCCTGCAAAAGCCCTCAGACACTGCTTAACTTTTAGCAGGA